ACGTACCTCTCTTCTCTATGCTGCTTTGCACATCTTTCCGCTTTTCATTGCATGTTTTCTTCGTCAGCATCAGTGTTTCTCATCCGTATCTCACGGCAGGTGATTTACAATTATTAATAGCTTTCTTGTGTAGGCACATTGGTATGTTGCATTTCATTATTAAACTAAATTCCCACATACATTCAGAAGACAAATGAGATATATACTTCATCATGGGACCTCGTGATATATACTGTTGTGTAATATAAACATATAACCTTTGCTCTGTTAACTCTCAACCTTTGTCATATTACTAAATATGATAGATAGTACGCTAGTTTTAGAGAGACTGGGAAGCATGGGCTGGATTTCCATTGTACTGAAATGCATTTTCCATACACACTTTTAAAACTTGGCCAAACTTTGCATAAACACAAAATGTAACCACGTGAATATATTGATCTATGAGACAAGCATATGATGCAGTGAGTGTCCCTAATCATAACACAGTATATCACCTCGCACTGTAGATGCTGCACAATCAAACACGTGTGTGGTGTATACCACACATGCCATGAGGGTACAGTGAGTGTTTTAGAACGTACTCTTTTTGACGATACCCTCTGGCATACGCAAAGCACCACGTGCAAAATGTAAAAAAAACAGAATCGTGTACACATGCGCATAAAGTACACGCAAGCGGTGCATATAGCGATACGTACAGCGCTTTGTATGTGTGCAACACATCAAATAAGCATTCCCAATTTTGTATGTTAAATACACATACGTACAGTATGCAGACATACTAAACACGCTGTGTATAGCTAATAATACCTTTTATACAAATATACAATTCAATACATATCCATACACACATACAGCACGTTGTATAAGTATACAATGCATGTCTTATACAAGTATACAGCACGTTGTGTAAGTATACAATGCATGTCTTATACAAGTATACAGCACGTTGTGTAAGTATACAATACATGTATTATACAAGTATACAGCACGTTGTATAAGTATACAATACATGTCTTATACACGTATACAGCACGTTGTGCAAGTATACAATACATGTCTTATACAAGTATACAGCACGTTGCATAAGTATACAATACATGTCTTATACAAGTATACAGCACGTTATGTAAGTATACAAGTATACACAGCACGTTGTGTAAGTATACATCATACCTGTACAGAGGACATGCTGAAATATAAACCGACGTACCTATACAATACTATGCAATATCAGCATGTGTACTATACACATGCTGAACACTATATGCTTTATAGAGTGCTGCAGTATACAGCACGGTAGTTTAACATAATACTGAAGTCATAATGAGTTACCTGTAGACACAGTACTGTACACGCCTCAATGAACACAATGTTTTAATAAACCTCACTACAATAACACTACTAATCCATAAACACACTCTCATCAGTGCTCAGTCAAACATACAAACCTGTCAACCCCTTATCAGTGCCCCTATCTTATTACAGACCAATTCAGACCTTACTGGTGACCTCTTGCACTTATAAAGCTCAACGTTCATCCTACAAAGTCCCATCACACGAGAAGAAACACACAAACAGAACCAAATATATACAGCATTTTTTGTTGGCCGTATTAAAACGACTGTAACGCCGTGTGGACCCTCAAAACTCACATTTTTCCCTGTAAACTAATACGGAGTTAAACCGTATGGGTTGACAGGGTTATGATATTGCATACAATACAGTCTATACCGATACAGTATAATAATATATTTTGATTTAAAGCTTTCGTGACTGCAGGGATTCATATTCTTGGTTCTTTCGGTAAAGTCACCACGTAGAAGGAAAAACAATATTGCTTTATATTTTTTATTTTATTTTATTGTTTCCCTTCTAGGTGACTTCACCGAAAGACCCAAGAATATAATAACATAGCTAACTTTGACGGCGTGTGTGTGTGTGCTTTGCAAGCGGTTGGTGGCACGTTGCAGGCAAACACGCAACATTGTTGCACGTGTGTCAACGCCGACGGGACGATGGACTTTGTTGTTGTCTAATGTTTGTCGATTTTGCTCTCCAACACACGAGTTTGGCACGTTTCTGTTAACGTGACGGGGCCCTTCCACCGAGTCGGCTGTGTCAGGTGGTGAAGGGTTTAACGACGCGTTTATATTGACGCGATCTAAAACAAAACACAACCTGTATTATATGTATTAAGGATGGACTTCCTTCCTCTACCTCCCCTAACCACCTTACAATAATCGCCGTCAAGCCATGGTCGATCCACTGCTAGATGAAGTCCTCCCTCCACCACCACCAAGCCATCGACATTCCTCGCGGTGCAGCGACGAGCAAAACGTCGATTTTAATTTAATTTTTAACCTCAAGAGCAACTCTTAAATGAAGTACCGACAATCGCCTACAACATATTTAACAAAAGAATACTTCTTACAGCAGCTAACTGCGGGCCCGGGTGCTGTTTGCGAGCGCACGTTAGAGGCATGGTGGTGGGTGGGTGCCAAGATCTACACCCGGCCGCCTTTGTCTCCCCGGTGCTGATGGCCAGAACAAACACAATAACCAAGTTATTATTGATTTAAAGGCGAGAGTTGATCTCCGCGGAGCCACGGACGGCAATAGAACCAGCACCACACACACACACGCGCGCCACCGCTCCCTACACAATCTCCAATACAAATACACACGGCACCGCACCGCGGCGGCATTTACCTTCCGACGTGGACGCGGTCACCGATATCCGGACCCCGAGCCCACAACCCGCCTCCCTTTCGATCTGGACGACGATCACACGGCAGTCCCCGAAGATCCCGAACCTTGTCCACCACCACCACCCCAACTCCACCTGCGTGCCGGAGATGGACGTGCTCGTGATGCCAACAACCCCCCTGGCGTGGCCACGGACCTTTTTTTCCTCAAGATGAAACACAAAAACCCTCGTCCCACGTTCTGTCCAGAGATTTGTCCGCAGGAGAACCCTCGAGAAACTTAACCCGGTCCTCGATGCTCCATGCGCACCTGGATCTGGTCACATGCCGCCCCGAAACCACCGGACCTGGTCCCTCCGAGGTTCCTTTGCACCTGGCCCTGGTCCCCCACGCAATCAGCGGCTTGCTCAGCCTCGAGAAAGCGACACAGGGGGCAGGGAAATAAAAGAAAGGCGCTGCGATGGATGCCACAATCGAATGACGAAGGCTCGCTCAGCAGCTGCCAACCAAGTCCTTCTCCTCCTCCTCTCCTACTGCTTTCCGACAACGGCGGTAGCGGTGGTGGTGGTCGGGGTGGCGGCGCTTACAGAGTTTGTGGCTCCGCCTGAAGGTCCGCCCAGACGGGCAACGTCACTGAGAAGCCCCACCCCCACCTCCCCCCACCTTCCCCCCACACCCCCCACCCTCCCCCCACACCCCCCACCCTCCCCCCACACCCCCCACACCCCCCGCCCTCCCCCCACCCTCCCCCCACCCACCCCCCACACCTCCCACCCTCCCCCCACACCCCCCACCTCCTGCCTCTTTGCCCTGCCCGACGGCTGCGGGTGAAGCCCCTGACCACCACCACCACTACCACCTCTCTGGCTGTTGATGAATGAGAGCGTGCGGTTTCACGCAAGTCTCGTGTTGAAGCTCAAGTTGACCGCCGGCAGCTCGGGGCTCGTGAATGGTAACGTCCAGGGGGGTCGGGCAACCTGCAGCTCTTTAAAGGACCGCTCAGAGAGGTTGTTAATTAATAACCGTCTCGTATACATGTGGCATTGCGACTCCTGAAATACAGTATTTAGTTTTTTTTTCAATATTTACCGAATTCGAAACATATTCTGCTTGTTATTTTGGTTGCCCAATGCCCCGTGCCAAGCTGAAGTGAGATATCATGAATAAACTTATGCCCCGACACTGACCAAGAGTTACTTCAGTATTCAGTCAACAATGACTGCTGCCCCCAGCTCAAATATTGGGCTTCGGAAAAAGATTATGCATTACTGTGTAAAAAGAGATACAAGCGAACGGTTGTCGTAAATACGTGCAAACAACAAATAATCCCCATTGGCTATGAAACTCAATATCTGCTTGCTTGGTTGAAGAAAATATGAACAAAATCAAATCAAGAATGAACAAAATCGTATCAAACTATAATGTATTGAAATTGCAATTTCAATGCTCTTCTGCCGCCCAGCGCTACGATTTAGTATTGAAGGGCATACCTTTGTGATCGGTGCGCAATCATTGACAACGTAGTTTTTCAAAGCCAGTTTAATGGATGTTTTTGGGTTAAGCAACGTGGTAGTTTTATGCCAACATTCTTGTCGTTAACCCACCACCACCCAACAAGATTGTTACGTTTACAGATATATAACATACATATATTTATCAATGCCACATATATTATTTGTTATATGATATATTATATTTGCATATTATATAATACATTATTTGTAAACGGGACAATCTTGCCAGGTGTTGGAGGGATGACAGCATTTTTAGGATAGAACTACGTGGCCCAACCCAAAAGCAAATATCGATCGATGTATAGTAATGTTTAACATTGCAAAAAAAGTGTATTTTAACAATTCCAGTCTACACTCAGATGCGAGTGATTTAAGTAATTAATATAGTTTTGTTTGTTAAGCACCTCATCACCAATAAACAAGAACGAACGATTTAAAACCCTAGCCCTAGACCCTATTCTGTCTAGACAGGGCCTCAAATCAACAAACTACGTCAAACGGTAGCACCTGCTCCAGTACAATCACCAGCCAGTGTCGATTTGCATCCAAAAGGACAGAATGTCCTCTTTTCATGAACAAAGTCCACTTCCTATAGACACTCTTTACCAAAGCACATACCTCCACAATCCTGTCTGGGCGTACTGATCAGACGAAATGGTACAATGCTCATTTATAAACATTTTATGAATGAAATTCACAAAACTGTCTGGTGATTACGTGCACTTTGTAGAGCTACAGAAGGCATTTCAGATATAAATGAACTAAAATACCATAGTAAACCGAAAACATTTATTCAGTGATATGTAACAAACGAAAAACGTCAAAAATTGCGTGTCATTTTTAACGGAAGAGCAACAGATAAACGAATTTCATTTAGCAAAACACTCAAAGTGGAAAAAGGCACAGATCAGCTTATGCTCAATAAAGCATTTTAATAAAAACTACTACAACTTATGAAAAATTTAGATTTAAACAATGAAACGAATATTTAAGTGCAGTACTTATGAACATCATTTAGTTCAGGAAAGTCTAAATTCTGTAAACACTTTTAATTTTTTTTTGCAATGGTGAAACATCAATCAAACACGATTGTAATTGGTAAATTCTTATGCACAGATATTTTTAGTAATATTTGTTTTATAAACTACTTTTTGCCAAACCAGAAAGATAAAGTATTACTGTGTTTGGACAAAAGTAGGTTATACTTTCTTTTAAAAAAAGTATTCACATCGTAACAGTTATGATAATATGAAATAATACAGCAAGGGTGTACGGAAATAAAACACCAAGTTTGTCACTTTCAATTTTGTTTAAATCTGGACCATCTTTACTAAGTGACTATTTTATCATCTCAATCTACAGTTCTGTAAGGAAATGCATTTGTTGCCAATGAATAAGGATTACATATTCAACTACCATATAGTCTGCTAATGAAAAAGTGCAGATAAAATAGAGATGCTATAAGCAGATAATACAATCAGGCCTTTGCAGCAAGGGAAAGTTATCATGAAGGTTCTACTATAAGTGGATTCTAGAAGTACAATGACATATTAGGATACAGATGCTTTTTTGTAACAATAACACTTTAGATTGGTATTTGCCCTGCTTTGTGCAACAGATTATAGTTTTTACAACGCAGGCCAATGCATATTTCATGGTAAATGCAACAAGTGAAATACACTTGCAAAAGAAATCCTTAAGTAAAAACAGATTGTACTGAAAGCAGGCTAAAAAATACACTTCCACAAGAAAAAAACGTCTAACTCTGCAATGCAGTTGCAATGCATCTCCTCTAGTACAAACAATGTTTGCATATCAAATTAGTGCAATTAAAATTGTGTTCAAACTCCTTTAGATTTCTATTAACTTAAATGATCAAATCCCTTTCAAACGTAAATAAGTCCCCAAAGAAAAATGCAGGCAAAAGCTTCACTGCTGCCATTTATTTATTAGATTAGAGCATGCAAGAATGGATGATCAGTACTTATCACTGCCTTTTAAATGAAACATAATCCGCACAGTTCAGGCTAAGGAGCTTGGGCCCTCAAAGAAAAAATGAAAGTTTGGCAAAAAAAAACTTGCATCTTACTTACCGGAAATAAAAACAAAACAGTCCTTTGTCAATCCAGCAATAGATGGCCTCTAAATGTCGTCATTTTTTTGCTTACTTTTCCTCTACTTAGCACTCCTATCATGTGTGTTTTTTATTGTTTGTTGTTGTTACGTTCTGACCCGCCCCTACTGGACATCTAAGAAAATAGCTTTATAGCTCATCGGATTCCTCCAGTACAAATATAAATTCTGATTCTGGAGGCAAGGGGGAGCTTATTACCATTGCAGATATATTTGTCACTGAAGCTATCCATGGCAAGGAATCCAACTTAGGACACCAGGTTGATAGACCAATACACAGACCACTGTACCACAGCTCCACTTGACCAGTAATGACATGCTATTTAAAAAATAAATCCATACCAAAACGCTCACTCTGCCATACAGCTGAATTCTATCTCCTCTACCTTTATATGTTTACGTGTCACTGTGCAGATTTTCCTTCTATTGCTGCATGCAAAATCGTTCCAATCACTGTGCTTAACGGCCATGATATCCGAGTCGTTCCCATTCAGGAATCCTCCTCCTCCTCGGAGAGGAAGCTTTTCTCTTCAACTCCGATGTTCTGTCGATGGCGCACAAACTCCAAACGGACGCGTTCCAGCTCACTCAGCTCGGCACGCACGCGGTCCCGGTGCTGCACCCGCTTCTGGTTGATGTAGCGCATCGGGAATGGATTCATGTCCACAAAGGCAATCGTGGCCAGCTGCCTGCAAAACGATTGTCAGGGCAACATTAATGATCTCATTTACCTTTAAAACAAAACAAATGTTCAAATTGCTCAATTTAACTTTAAAACATGGCAATTCTCGCTCCTTGCAGACAGACAAATGTCCATTTTCAGGCTAGGTGGTGAGTCATCTTGTACTTCCAGGGACAGTTGCCACTGGGTGTGCCCTTTCAAATGTTTGAAATGAGATTTAATGTAAAATGCTCCCAGATGCCCAGCGTGAAGGTCGCCACATCAAAAACAGATCATCACTAATGCATTCATATATCGTATTCACGAGTATACAGTGAGGGAAAAAGTATTTGATCCCCTGCTGATTATGTACGTTTGCCCACTGACAAAGAAATGATCAGTTTATAATTTTAATGGTAGGTTTATTTGAACAGTGAGAGACAGAATAACAACAAAAAAATCCAGAAAAACGCATGTCAAAAATGTTATCAATTGATTTGCATTTTAATGAGGGAAATAAGTATTTGACCCCCTCTCAATCAGAAAGATTTCTGGTTCCCAGGTGTCTTTTATACAGGTAACGAGCTGAGATTAGCAGCAAACTCTTAAAGGGAGTGCTCCTAATCTCAGCTTGTTACCTGTACAAAAGACACCAGTCCACTGAAGCAATAAATAAATCAGATTCCAAACTCTCCACCATGGCCAAGACCAAAGAGCTCTCCAAGGATGTCAGGGACAAGATTATAGACCTACACAAGGCTGGAATGGGCTACAAGACCAAGGCCAAGCAGCTTGGTGAGAAGGTGCCAACAGTTGGTGCGATTATTCGCAAATGGAAGAAACACAAAAGAACTGTCAATCTCCCTCGGCCTGGGGCTCCATGCAAGATCTCGCCTCATGGAGTTGCAATGATCATGAGAACGGTGAGAAATCAGCCCAGAACTACATTGGAGGATCTTGTCAATGATCAAGGCAGCTGGGACCATAGTCACCAAGAAAACAATTGGTAACACACTACGCCGTGAAGGACTGAAATCCTGCAGCGCCCGCAAGGACCCCTGCTCAAGAAAGCACATATACATGCCCGTCTGAAGTTTGCCAATGAACATCTGAATGATTCAGAGGACAACTGGGTGAAAGTGTTGTAGTCAGATGAGACCAAAATGGAGCGCTTTGGCATCAACTCAACTCGCCATGTTTGGGGGAGGAGGAGGAATGCTGCCTATGAACCTAAGAACACCATCCCCACCGTCAAACATGGAGGTGGAAACATTATGCTTTGGGGGTGTTTTTCTGCTAAGGGGACAAGACAACTTCACTGCATTAAAGGGAGGAAGGCCGGGGCCATGTACCATCAAATCTTGGGTGAGAACCTCCTTCCCTCAGCCAGGGCATTGAAAATGGGTCGTGGATGGGTATTCCAGCATGACAGTGATCCAAAACACATGGCCAAGGCAACAAAGGAGTGGCTCAAGAAGAAGCATATTAAGGTCCTGGAGTGGCCTAGCCAGTCTCCAGACCTTAATCCCATAGAAAATCTATGGAGGGAGCTAAAGGTTCGAGTTGCCAAACGTCAGCCTCAAAACCTTAATGACTTGGAGATCTGCAAAGAGGAGTGGGACAAAATCCCTCCTGAGGTGTGCAAACCTGGTGGCCAACTACAAGAAACGTCTGACCTCTGTGATTGCCAACAAGGGTTTTGCCACCAAGTACTAAGTCATGTTTTGCAGAGGGGTCAAATACTTATTTCCCTCATTAGAATGCAAATCAATTTATAACATTTTTGACATGCGTTTTTCTGGATTTTGCTGTTATTTTGTCTCTCACTGTTCAAATAAACCTACAATTAAAATTATAGACTGATCATTTCTTTTTCAGTGGGCAAACGTACAAAATCAGCAGGGGATCAAATACTTCTTTCCCTCACTGTAGCTCTCCCCTTGAGACTAACATGGATATGTATAAGAATAAAGATAACTTCATGACTTAACTTCTAAACCTCAACATATTAAAGCTTATGGGCCACAACCATAAACAGCATGTATGTATGTTGAACTTATTTTACACCGTACGTAACCAACTGTGCTAATCAGAGGTGCATCCACATAAACCATTGCAGGTGCCAATGCTTGATGCATAAATGGAAAAATTCAAACTCTGGTTTGCGACTGTGGTCACCCAGAACAGACCATGGAACATACGACTCAATGGCAGAATCACAAATACGAAGGAGGCATCACAGCAATACACTCCCACTACTGCTGATGCAATTATCTGGTTGAACCACCTCAATCTAAAATTAAAGACGTTGCTCTACATCAAAATCATCCACATGAACAAGTTGAAATGTAATCTTCTTCATAATGCTTTCTTAATGTGGTCAGTGATTAAGCATTCACTTATACTGGTAGGAACAAAGTTGTAAACTGAGTGTACCAGCCTGCAATAGATTAATGTGTCCATCCGTCCGTCCCCTTTCAATACTTTAACGAAGTGAAATCTCGTGCTGTTGGGTGTAAAATCAGCAATAGACAGCGCAGAGACTTGATATGTCTTATTGCACCCAACATTTGGAAGTCACGTAACAGGAATGCGTAACAATGTCATAAAATTGCGCAAAATTCCAATGTTCCTACCAGCCCACCCTGCAGGGACCTGTTCACAAATAAATAAGCAAAGCTTCAAATATTCACAGCATCCTACCTGTAATCATGAATGGAATGAGTAAAGATGCGTAGATAATTGAAGATTGCAGAGTTGCTGTGATGCTTAATTAACTGTTCCTCGCGGCACTTCAGCATTGCCAGCGCATAGCGGAAAATCACCTGGGTTTTGCAAACAGAAACGGTTTGGTTACAATGTGCAGTTTCGAGCAAAAGCAACAACGTCTGTTTGTTCACTTTCAGCAATCAGCTGAGCAAGCCGGAATGCTTTTAAAACTCCCCCCCCCCGTCTCCATTAAGATTTGTCCGATCGTGAAAGGGGCACTTTGATGACATCATCATACGGATTTATTCTATATTGGTTAGTCATCTATCACAGGCTTTATGCATTATATACAGACTCGTTCATAAAGCCTGTCTTGGCTATGCAAACGTTTTAAATAATTATTATAATAAACCTGATATGATATTTTACAGTGTTTATCGACAGACTAACTACTCCAAAAATGTATTTTTCCGCAAAAAAACACAAAAATTGTTGACAACTCGATTGAACTTCTTATATTTAAAGGCCTACCCATCAGAAACCGCTCAATTTAAAGATTCTGTTTTTTTCTTTTATTAGAAAGAACTCAAATGCATTAACTTAATACTCCATGAGGGGAAGCTCCTGACTTATACAGATTTGAAAAACATTAAATGCGTATTTCTTTCGTTCAAACCCGTTTGAATCTGATATAAATGGAAAAACAATAAAAGATAGACCAATGGTTCTCGCTAGAATTTTATTTGCTGTTTAACGCTCTATCAAAGAAAAAAAAAACAGAATCTTATATTCTGAACGGTTTCTGAATTCCATGCACAAACATGTTTATGGGGCACTTAAAATCGAGATTTGGGGGACTTAAAATTAAAAATATCGGACTTTCTGATGTATCCTGTTGTGTCCTAGAAGCTACCTATGTACCTTCCCTTGTCAGGAAGTACCCTAGAGGTTTGTGAGACATACAGATTAAGGTCTTTATTTATATAAATGTTGTTGTTGCTGCTGCAATGTGCCGCTGCAGTGTCTACCGTTATTAACAATCACACGAGTAATCATCAAAACATACACCTCACGCAGACATGCTTTCCTATAAACATTTACACCAGGGAATCAAACCGATTGGCTTTTGAGTGCGGTTCAGGTGCACTGAAAACTATTTGAACCGGTTAGAGTTCAATCGATTCAAAATGGATTTTAAGGGCTTGCTCCTGGTTAACTGTTTGTGAAAACCAGTTAGAACAAATTCAAATTTGCATATTCGCTATACATTAGTAACATTTTAAAAACCCGCGTAGCTTACCTTTTCAGGCTACAACGTAGGCTACACGGGAGGTCTCTGTTTAGCTAAACTTTCAATTCATTCGTTTATATGCGATGTTTATTGCAATACACGTAGAGAGAGATAGTTTAAATAGCTTCAAACACTTGTCTCTTTCTCTGTTGCAAACTGGAAGCAACTGCGAGACGGAGATGCAAAGACAAAGGGAGCTGCAAAGGAAAAAAGAACACAGATGCACACACAAATGGAGATGTCCATGAAGGAAGGGAAATGCACAGGAAAAAGGAGTTACAGAGGACAGATGCGGAACAAATATTTGGGCAAATGTTGTTTGCAGGCACCTATGGAGGCCTTTTAATCACTAAAGTACGGTACCTATACAATGTATAGGTACAATGTATAGGTACCGTACTTAATTGTATTTATTCTACATATGCGATTAACAATGGCTTCATTCATTGCACATCCATGCCAATTTTACTGATGATATAAAGGACATTTATATCCATATTTAACAATCACATATTACTTTAAGGGATGAACTGAAGTGTTTCCTACATGTCAATCAATAATATAAACTAGTCCGTAAAATGAGGAATGCTAGGCAATGTTTATTGCGGTTTTATTGCCTGTCGAATTTGTGTTAAAGCAACCACTAAAGTACAGTGCGTGCAATAAAACGCAATAACCAACACTAGCATTGCAATACACATTTCCCAGAATGCCTCCAAAGCACTTTAAAGACTATGTCAATGTTTGTGCAGAAGTACGTAATTAACGCTCCAGTTAACCATCGTAACATTCAAATGTACAGTTGAATATAGCAAATGAGTGCATCCAGCCCTATATTTATCTTATTCATGCATCTGTATCTATGTGACTGTTATTGTCGTCGAGTCTTAATGCTCAAGACTCGAATGTGTGCAGAATCGTGTGGCTCTGTGTACAGTAGCACCATTCACCAAGTGACAGTCAATGTGCCGTGCAGCATCATCGGCTTTGGGTTTGCAGCCGATTTTAACTTCATACCTTCCAAAGTGAATCGGTTTTGAACCATTGACCCCACGTCTTTTTTTATGATTTTTATTCCAGAACACAAACAAAATCGGATTCGGTTTTCAGTTTTTGTTCCAGAAAAATATCGGTGAAAACCGGTTCTTCGCTCCGGCTTTCGTTTCTGTTCGGTTCCCCGATTTACATACGACTTAAGGGTTTCCTAAACTCGACGGTGGCTGGGCGAGAATGGCGTTTGGGAAACGTTGACACGAGGTGACGTGCCGACCTTGGTGCCCTCGTAGAGGAAGGCATCCCAGATGCGGAATACCATGTCGCTGCCAACGCTGTCCACAAACAGCACCAGGAACCAGTTGAAGGTGATGAGCGAGACGTCCACGCCATGCTGCTCAAAATGGGCAGCCAGACGCGGCAACTTCTCCGTCACCAGCTCCTTGAACAAGCGCTGGTCCACCTGTGTGCCCGTGTTGTCAGTGGCGTAAATTACACAACGTGGTGATCCTCCGATTTACTCTTGCCAGTCATCCAGCACTTTGGGAGAAAAGAGATGTGTCAAAATCCCAAAGCCAATAGGTTTTATGGTGTGCAGGAGATGGCAGTACTGTACTGCGAATTGAGTTCACGAGTGTTATCCCATACATATACGTTAATTGTCTCATATGAATTAAATTGAACAAACATCCCAATGTAAGGTCCTCATGACAGTGGAAGATTTTCCTGCAAATTAATTGACATCGTGTTGTTATGGACTGCACCTGTGATGCAAGCAACGTCTTGCTGTAGTAGTCGGGTGGCATGAGGCACTCCACTATGGCAACGAGGCACCAGAACGCCTGCTCCTCCTCCAGGTATATGAGGGCGATTGCTGCCAGCCTAGATGCCGTCACATACATCATAATGTACGTTGCATGGCATTAAATTTCACACAATTGCGCAATAATGACCACATGGGCAATTTACAAATGGCCCACTTCTCAAGCAACCTTACAATTCAAGAACCAAAAAGAACCACCTGTCTTTGCAAAAGACAATTTTCACCAACTGATTGCCGCTTCACCTGTTGAGCCCCTGGCAGTAGCCAACCTCAGGGTTGTGCCACGCGTATGCGAGCAGCACGCGCCGCAGCTTCACGATGCCCTCGGATGACTGCGTCTCGAAGTGCCGATTGTTGGGCAGCGTGCGCGGCAGGTCCAGCTCAACTTGCCGCGCCGCCGGGTTGTGTTGGCCGTGCGAGCGTTCCAGCAGCTCGCAGTAGTAGGAGGCGGCGTGGCGGCCACGTATGGCGCGCACGTGCTGCTCCACGGCCCAGCGCCACACGCGCGAGCGGAGTTCGTGCGGCACGCCAGAGCGCATCAGCATCTTGAGCTCGGGGGAGCGGCTCGGTTCGCGGCTCGCGGCCAGCATGTTCTCCCACTTGACGCGCAGCGACGCGTCCAGGCGAGTCTCGATGATGCTGAGCGAGCGGCGGTCCAGGGCCAGTGCCTTGGCCGCGAGGCGTTCCTCTTCGCCCAGGCCATCCGGCTCCGTCCGGAAGCCGTACTGGTCATACTCACTGTGGACAGATGCATTGTGGGAATTGTTATTATAGTAGATATTATTGTTATACTACTGCGTAGGTTTTTGCTGTTGTGCTGTATAGCTCTCCGAGGTGTTCTTGGGTTTTACCGGAAGTTGTTCGGCATGATGTTCAACGTTTCGCTGCACATACTCAAAGCTTTTTCAGAAACTCAACTGCCTCCGGTGTCTCCGGTTCTCATGTAAATGTATGTACATTTTATATGCAAGTATGTATATATATGTGTATGTATAGTTAAGTTGGACTGGGATCAAATTGATGAAAACTGGAGCAGATTGGAATTCATTTAGAAAACTGAATTTGATAATGAAACAGAATTTGATAAGGAGTTTCTAATCCATTTGAACACCACAACTGTCTTAAGACCCAAAAACTAAACATGGACAACTGTTAAAAAAAAGACATCGAACCACCACATTGCTGCCTGCGAAAACAATGTATTTAACCTGCAAAGTCGAAAAAGTATGAAGGCAGTGACGAAGCATGGTTGGAATGGGCCGTTGTGCAAGGAAATAAAATGGGGCCCCCCATGTCCAATTTCCTCCCTCTTTGTAGCTCAGCACATGGGTCCCTACGGTCCATATGCCCCGGTGCAGTTGTCACCTGTACACACAATAGCTGTGCCACTGTATGAAGACGAATACGAAGACTGTTGGCAATCATTGTAATAAAACAAGTTTGCAAGCACGTCTCGACAAGAGGGAAATGCTCGGCACCTGGTCAGGATGGGCCGCGCGATCAGCTGCTGTTGCTGGTGTTCAGTGCCGTCGGGCGTATACACGTCGGCCATCATGGCCTCCTCCAGAAGACGGGACACCATCTCCTGTGAGTGGGAATCCTCGCTGGTGCCCGAGCGCAGAGGCCCGCTCGCCTCCTGCAGCAGCACCAGGTAGCGGCTCTCCAGCTGGCAGCAGCGAGCCTCCTGCATGCACATCTGAACGGGCGCACAGTGCACGAGCCATTGCAACGTATTATATACGTCTGCGAGGTGTTTTTGCGATTGTGTTTCTCGCATTATTAATGCTTTCCAAAGAAGGTTCAAAGCGTTTTTGCATGAACTCTGTCCATCCGTTTTGTAAAAAAAGGACTCCCTTATAAATTCTTTTTTTTTTTCTCAATAGGATCTCACCTGGTATTTACTGTTAGGAAAAGTAACTCTGTGCCAGCAGGACACATCGTGAAAAAGGATGACGGCCGAGAGACAACACTGGTAATGAAATGGCAGAGTGGAGAAAACGTGCCCCAAAAAATTGCCCCTGTGGAGATGGAGTGATGATATCAATTAATGTGCAGGAGTGAGACGGAATGTGACATTGCAAGACTGTGAAGGATGGCGATGGTGTAGGGATGCCTTTGTCCAAAAGCGAATGAACAAAGGGCTCATGATCTGATGACGATACTGCTGATGATGAATGCAAACCCAATACCGCGCAGAGATGGACAGACGGAATTATGCGTTTATTTACCTCGAATACCGTTTTTGCAAAGAGGTGCTTAATTATGCAAGAAGAGGCACAGATTTGTTTAGCTTTTTTTCCATTAAGTGTAATTTCTTCAGGGTTACGAATGCAAGTTACCTTTTCCTGCAGTGCTGCCTCTCTGTCCTCTGCCCTTTTCCACAGTTGCCCAAGTTCCATAATCTCCTTGTTGAGGAACTTGTTCTGTGTCTTGTAGGCAAGGATGTCGTCCTGAAAATGTTGATCATTTATCTCAGAAGTAGTACCGAATATTTTAGATGCCTTAAAAATAGTTATCACATTTCCTTTGTCTAATTCAGCTGCAGTGACTGTATATGGGTATTCATTGACATCCAGTTTCTCTATCAGGGAGATAACCACTAGGTAATTACCAGTCTCAAACATGCGTTCGTATGATTTCTGTGCAGTAAGAGCGAGTGCAGTTTGCCCGAGATGGTGTTTTATTCAACATCTCTCTGCGACCATGACGACTGAATTCTAATCAACAATCTTTTCATTGTGAAGCAGTTTTGGCAAAGCCTTTGTCCAGCGATGGTGCCCATCCCTCCATCCGAGCTATCACGAGATTTTTCTGTCGGCATTTTAACTGTTGGGCAACCAAACATGATTTTACGCCGTTGCCTGTGTAGTGGGTTCCGCGGAGACACAGACTTTAATCTGGAGGCACCACGTTTATTATACGGCCCCAACAGGGCTACTACTTTAACGTTACAACGGGTTAACTTGACCCCAACCGGGTCACTACGTAACCGGGTCAGCACGGTAACTTCTTCCTGACCCACGGAGCCTGAAAGTACAATCTAAGACGGACGAGACGGAGCACGGTGAGTTCACTCCAAGAGACAGCCGCGATCGCTCCCTCCCCATCCCTCTTATCCTCTCGAGCATGGCCTCGCTCCGCCTCCAGCCACGCCCCCTTCTCGATCTCTCCCGAAGGAACTGGGGCCAGCGTGACATGTCCCTCAAGCCCCCTTTTCGGGCCCCTTGCTACCACGTGCGGTTCACGTGCCCTCTCTCTCCCTTCAACGGGACCATGCCCTCTAGGGCCCGTTTCACTGCCATACCTCCGCCGGTGCCAGAGAGAGGTACGAGACATATGCAATTACCTGCTCGTGAACGTAGATGGCGTACACGCCATAGAGACTATTTACATATCTACACCTTGGTTAATCGTGAACGGAAAACTATTGAACATTCTCTGTAGTTTCAGAGTCTTACTTTCCTGTTGACGTGGCTGTGTGGCTACAAGATGATCATCAAGACGAACAACACCTTACCTGTTGATACCAGTCGTCAAGTAGTTTACAGTCTATGCATAACTCAAATAAAATCTTGAGAGTTGTTGTGGCGAATGTAGATAATAAAATAAACAAGCGGAATCATAATTTCAAAACAGTGGTTCTGGGTGTCTTAAACAGGCATTGGCTTGATGTATTGACGTGGCCATAATGAAAATAAATAAACACACAAGACAACCCATCAGCCACGCAGCTTTCTGAGAGTGCACAATTTTAGTAGCATTGTTTTAAGATAAGCAAACTCCGGACTGATTTCGACAGTCTTATCAGCAGTCAGGCAAAAAGAAACCAAATAAATAAATAACCAAAAAAACTCTTCTCTTGTAGTGACAACTATTCTGTATATCCTGGGTTGTCTGACATGAGGTTGAAGCTTCATTACAGAAAAAAATACCTTAAAACCACATCGTGGATCTAAAGTATTTTTTTGAGTTTAGATTTCCTGGAACTTTGTGGTGGTGTTTTATTACAGCTCGTCTAAACCAAATAAGTTCGAAACCACCACTTCCATACCTCCAGTTTTTGCATCTCCTCTTGTTGGACGTGAATGCCTTGGTTCCTCATGCCACTCAAAGTGGCTGTGGCCATGCCCTCCCTCAACTCCTTCTCACCAAGGCGCCTGGTGAGGTGCACAATCGTCTCGTCCTTGACCTGAATCACGACCGAGTAAGTCCTCACAATCTCTTGCAGCTCCTCCACTTTCTTTTTCAGCGCTGCAACCTCCTGCCGCAGAGAGCCGCCGCCGCCTTCTTCCGTCAAACTCTCCCCGACCTCTCGCTCAACAAACCCAACGGATGCCCGGTGCTGAGCGTCACTCTTATCGCACGCCTGATTGCCACCCTCCTCCGCCTTGGGACTCACTGGCACTGCAAAGTCAATGAGCAGCGTGACAGGGACGTCGCTAGTGCTCGCTGCTCTCCCGCCGCCATCGCCAGGAGATGCAGATGCGTCAGCTTGCTCCGAGGAGCCCGGCCGGGCGTACACGGTCTCTACCCGGCTCGACAGCTTCTGCACCCGCTGCTGCGCCTGTTGCAGGATGTTGCGCTGCAGAGTTGAGCTCTCGCGCTCTCGCCTCCGCTGCTCCTGATGCACGGAGTGCAAACTCTGCTGCAGGAGCCGTACAACCTCCTGGAAAACAGTGCGTGTAGTCTTCTTCTTATTGAGAAACAAAAATATTCCTCAACTGCCGCAGTTATAAATGTACACTTTGCAGTTTTTTTCCCAGTATTATTTCAAATTCTTTAAAAAAGCAATTGCAAATCGCATACCAGATTGTATTGTCTGGGAGCTTACCTGGTAATCCCATAGGTTCTCACCTGGCTATCTATTAGCAAGCAGCTATATCACCCCACCTCCTACCTTCTGTGTGTCCAGCTCCTGCCGTAATCTGGACACCTCCATCTCCAGGTCAGCATCGCTGGTGTCCACTGGGACCCCAAGGTTTTCAGTGTCATTCAAAGCCCTGCTCAGAGGCCTCCTCTTCATCCCCAGCTTGTTCCGGAAGCCACCCAGCGACATTCGCTGCCGTGGTGCTGGCTCTGGATATGCCTGGGGGTTTGGCCCTTTAGCAAAGACACAGGACACAGATCTATGAACAACTTGCAGTGTTCAAATGTGAAATATCACACACTATGAGTGGATACTGGGACGTTTTTCAACATGTCCTTGAAAGTATTTAATTTTCAAAAATAATGCTGTCTTTCCATCTGCACAATGAGATGACGTCATACGGTGCATGACTTATATTGTAAGATGACGCCACAATAAATGATGTGACAGAAGATGACGAGGCATGATGTCATAGCCAAATTTTAGGCAACCCTTTGATAAAATTAGCCAGTTTCAGACAGGGAAAATCCCTAATAACAATGCAATGTTTTTATATAGTTTAATCTATATTGGATCGTCGTTACGAGCGTTAATGTCACTTCCCACTACAGACAGAAAGAAAAACAGACAGAGCAAATTCATGAATCTTTTCAATACGAGTTAGAAAGCTTGAAAAAGTATAATTGTATTATGTACTTTATTAAAACATACTGCAGACGTAATTGTTGACCAGGGTTGTGGACAAACAGCGACTGAAAATTGGAAACTTCTAATGATAACCCCGTACCCAAAATGTAAACCTCATAAAAAAATAAGTGGCGACCATGTAAAACACGTGTACATTATTAACAAGCGAAATGGGTGCATTCTTGCGGCACCTGTGCTGTCCTGCTCCCTGGGGAGAGCCACAGTGTCCACGATGTCCGTGTCGGCCGCTTCCTGGTAGAGCTGACTACGGCGATTCTCGCGGCCACCTCTGCCCACCCGCAACTGGCTCATGGAATTTCTGCGGAAGCAATGATGAGGCACGGGTAGGGGGGTGGGGGGTGTGGAGGGCCACGCAAGTTCCGGAGCAGGTTCAGGAGGACAGAAGTCAACTTAAAACGATGCAAAAAGGCAACAGATGTGAACCGAGCACATTCTCAGAAGTGAAAGCCAAGCTAAGGAAGTTCTACAAGGAAGGATGTTGGGTAAGAGGTCAAGACACAGAAAGAGATCATTGCCCTTTGTTGACTTTAAGGAGGGGGTGAGCTTATAGTAAAATTAAAAACAAAGCTCTAAATTGGACAGGATGAAGAGTGTTAGAGCCAAAAACCTACCAATAGACAGAGGACTAAAGAGAGAGAAGTTGCACACAGATCATTTGGGTAAGTATACAGTGTCAGTGAGAAAAGTGAACACCATATTAGTCACCATCTAGTCGAGTTCAGCTGACATTGCACATTCAACTCGTGTGCATTCGCAACGACCACACACACGTCCACAATCGTCCTTCTCACGATAGTGCCTCGCAGAAACTGTAGTTCAATAACATTTAAACTTATAACAAAGTTAATCAATCTAGCTACACACGGCTGCTGGAAACGGTTTCAAAACGTTTAGAATGGCAAATTTGAGTAATCTAAGTACAAAATAGATATAAATCGACCTTAAAAAGAGTATTCTACCATACTGAATTTGAAAATGAAAAAATCCGCATCTTTATTTGAAGTACATTTTTTAAAACGATGTATTGCACTGTACTTACAGTTTTCAAGAAAAATAGTGACTGTATCCTGGGAATGTGATGCTTATTAATCTAGACTAATAAAACTCTCTCTCTAGTGTTGTTTAAAAAATATATATACTACACAAGAGAGAGAAAAAAAACACAAGCTGATCGAAAAAACAGAGGGGTTAAAAGCATGTGACTGCTTTGCAGAAAAAACAAAAGGAAGTGACATCAGGAACAGATTTCCTTCTAAAAATGAGGGCAGTAAGAGTTGGGGGAAAAAAATGTTAAGGCGTTAACACGACAACAACGTCTTTCTTATTGTGAGCAGCACTTTCCTTCAAGGCCATTTACATGAAACTGGATGGCACTCATTTTCAGAATCTTTGGAGGTCACACTAATAAAAATACCCGGGTTACCTCTTCACGTGATTGTCAGTTACAGGCTGCACATGGGGGAAAGAAAAAAACGATGTAAAAATAATGGGAAAGCACCGTGGAGCTGTAATGGTGCCGTAATGTGAACCCACCTATTCTTTGGAACTTTACCAGCACCATGTGCTTAGAAGGGGATGTCTGCACAGAAACACATCCGAGCACTGTGGAGAGGTTAACCAGCTGCAATCAATACGCCAAATTCCTTTGTGCGACAGCAAGAGGAAGTGAAAACCTCTGACTATGGGTTAAAATAATAATCCCCTACAATTCTATGAATTGTTGCGATTCAGGATTCAAGAATTGATTAAAATTGAGATTTTTTTCAACAATGTTACGACTGTATGCAAGGCTCTTTTTGCCACACAAAAACCTTATATGTGTATACATTTTAAAAGTTTACTCTTTCACATGTGATTTCATGCATGCATTCCAAGCTTACTAATTTATATTAATCCACGAGTCGTTACACCCTCATGTTAAACACGCCCTACACCAGCATCACAGATTCTCTGGAATTCTCCACTTAACCTCGCGTTTGGAACTTTACCAGCACCACATGCATTTCAGTGATGTATACAGTCAGATGTGCAAGCAATGTGGCATGGTTAATCAGCTTCATTCGATTCACTGGTCGCTTAACATTGTGTATGCAGGTTTGGCGATATCCGATTCAGTGAAAACTTTTATTCAAATATGTTTAATTCATAATAAAGGTTGTTGGGTTAGATCGCGTTATTTATGTGTTGCAACCCTCCACCACGCGACACGGCCAATCAGTAAAAAATGTGTCACGTTTACAAAAGACAAATATTTCACTACTTTAGCGCACCGGTGTGTTGAAAAGTGGATCCACAACATTTACAATTTGAGAACGACGTTTAGCTGGAAATTACATCAGCATTGACCACGTCCAAGCAAAATATCCAGGAATGGGAGTGTGTTGTTCACCTCCATTTCCATGGTGAACTGAATGGCTAGGTTTTGCGCATTGAGATGATTAAAAAAATTCAATAAGTGTATTTTTACCATGTGGCCAGACAACCATAGTGTCATCGACATATCTAAACCAAATACTGTTTAGCTTGTTTATATAAACGTGTAAACTTCCATTAAGTAGAACCAACGAAGTAGGTGTATCAATGAAACACAAAACAAAAATTATACTTTAAAAAACTTTCAAATGTAAAATGGCATAATCCATCTGTACATTTCTTCACACTCCCGATCGCATTTATCTCAAGATGTTTAATATTGCAGTGCTAGTGACATGAAGCGAGGTGTTTTATGGCATAGTTTTGTGCAAGAATCACGGCCATTAACACAGTACGAGATTCACACAAAATATCGTATACCGAGGTTTCATTATGTAAGTTAAGAAAATGTTATTTACGTGCAACAATTCCTAAAAAAAATTACAAGCACACAAGAAAACGTAAAGGTACATCTTTAATATTACAGCTTCCGTCCTAGGATGGGCAAAAGGCTAATTTAAGGTCAGTTAAATACAGTGCTACAGTGACATGAAGTGACGTGTTTTATGACATAGTTTGTGCAAGCATCACTGCCATTAATAGTGCTACAGTGAAATGCAGTGAAGTCTTTGATAACATCGTTTTGTGCAAGATTCACTGCCATTAATAGTGCTACAGTGAAATGCAGTGTAGTATTTGATGACATTCTTTTGTGCAAGATTCACTGCCATTAAATTTACACAAGATACAATTATACTCCGATTTAAAAGCTTTCGTGACTGCAGTGATTCATATTCTTGGTTCTTTCGGTAAAGTCATGTTGAAGGGAAACAATAAAATAATAAAAAAATATTTTATTGTTTCATATATATTTTATTATTTTATTGTTTCCCTTCAACGTGACTTTACCGAAAGAACCAAGAATATAATTATACTCTGCTCAATTTTTTCGTAAATATTACAGCTTCTGTCCTAGGATGGGCAAAAGGCTAGTTATTTATGTTTTCTTGACCGATTCAACTGCCAGGGTTGAGGGGGGGGGCAATATCTGCTATCTTGTCTTCACCGTGCTGACAGTGATTTTCAAGCTGCGATGAAAGAAGGTAATCTTGAAGGGAAACTTCTGCAAAACATCTCATGAGCAGCTCGGGCTATCCTTGATATTCTCAAAGCTGGTGGGAGCTTTTACCAAGAATACCAGATGGCTGCATAGGAACAAATGCTTGATAGTGAAAAATGTATAGATACTGTGGTCCTCACATTGAAGTGGTTCATTGGAGGGATCCGAGGGTGCTTCTGACCAAGACGCCAAATACTGATCAAGTCGCCGATTCCTGCCTTGTGGCCTGTTCAGGCGCTGTTCAGTGCGAGACCTCTGATGCAGATGTGTCTGGCTGCCCTGCCCTTGGACATTTCTACGTTGGTTATGGGTGGGGTACTGCTTCCTTGCTAATTTTCATCACTGCTGGACCAGTTGCCAAAAAATTGGTTGATCCTATGAACGTGTGAACACCCAAGGGTACTGGCCTTGCCTACAGGGGATCGTATTTTCAACCGACTCCCAATATGACACTTTTAGATTATGCTTGCTCCACGGTTTCTTCACCTATGAGTGGAAAGTTTTTGTAAACAGTAGGTACACAGTCCTGTTTGTAGTTGTTGGCCATACTGTGTTATTTAGCACCTTGTATATTTTGTCACCTGCATTACTTGTTAAATGTTGTTGCTGGAATAATTTGAAATTTATTGCAAATTAAAAAGAAAATCACACAGCAGCTTGCCCGCGACCATGCAATGCACACGTACCGTATCTCGGTGCCCAAGTGCTTGAGTGAATAATTGGAGAGGGCAGTAGGCTGCATGGGAGCAGGAAGAATTGCTGCCAGCTGTCCCACCAGGCCTGTGGGCTCAGGGAGAGGTGGAAGGATCGGGGGCAGTGGCTCCGTGTGCGGCCCTTCACTCGCACCACCCGCCTCCTCGGCTGTGGTTCACAAGTAAAACAAAGTTGACGAGCATGACTCTGTCTGTCTCTCGCCTCGATCTGTCCGCCTTTCTCAAATGCGCAACAAACATACAGTACGTGCGTGTGTACTAAGTGATTTGCAATGGCAAGAATTGCACATAGCTAGTGGTTTAGGACACCATTTCATACAATTAGAAAACTTCCTCTTTGTAAAGCAACTCACAAAGACACTTCCAACAAAAAGACATACGAATGGAAATAAAACGCAATGAAACCATTTATACGTGTTATAATATAAAGCAATCTTAGGAAGAATATACACCTAGAAGCACATGAAATGGTAAATGAAAGTTGTACATTTTAGGTTAGAGTAATACGTGAAACACTTATTACTCTAACCTATTATATTCTTGCTGATGGCAATATTTTCAGAAGCTAAATGCCAATGTCGAAGTCTGCTAGCCACGAAAGGGCTTCAGGAGAGAGTTTGTCAAGTTTTGCTATTCCCAAATTAAAGGAGCGCAGACCAGCGGTTTACTATATGGTCCATAGTTATAGTTGAATAGCCACAATCACACTGTGACTTGTCGATCATATCATATTATTTTAGCTTTTTCACTGAATTTGGCTAAATTCCAGCTACGATTTGTGCATGCACAAATCCACACAAACACGTGTCCATGAACACAATCACTTCCATCATGCAAGTGATGTGAAAAACAACGCAATAACGACAGTTGCATGTTGCCATGGTTTAGAAGTGAGCCAGAGTGAAACCGTTTGCTTCAGAAAGGTCCCCTATTCAAGTTTAAAAAAAAAACAACCGTAACACTTTACCATCAAAGAAAACTTCTAGTGCGAAGGTGCAAGTCTGTGTACACATTTTTCACTGGCAAATATTATCTGTTCTTCCTCCAAGTTGAGTCACAATACAGTTCTCGTACTTTACTGCAGTACACCAACCAACAAATGTTGTCAGTAAAATGAACATATTGCAAGGAATCCTATAAAAATATACACCTTTTTCTGGACTTCATAAAAGGAACATAATATAAAAAAACTATCATTTTCTGCTCAGAAATGGAAAACTTAAGTAAACATAAATAGGAATAGCAGAATTTGGTGAAAAGTGGAAATGTCCAAGTTTCAAGGCTAAACCACAAACTGCTGATCAATCGTAATAATCTCAAAAATTCACAAGGCAAGACGCATCCTGTTCACTGTTGTTAATGTCTGCTCCCAGAGTGAGTCATGGCATCAGTTCAATGGTTTGTCATCATTTGTAAAGTACCTTTCTACCACATAGAAAGGTACTAAGATGATGCCAATGGCATTGCCAGTTGCATCCTGCTGGGCGTGGCTTGTACGGGGTTATCCAACTTCGGGAGGGCCAAATGTTGAGGTGACTCACATTTTTAAAAAGGGCCATAGTAATCAACCGCAAAAAAAATATAATTGCTTACAATTTACACTCGATTCATCGATGTAATCGACTAATTGTCCCAGCTCCACAATTCATAAAAAGCAGAAATGTGTCCGGTCACTAAGCTCTGCTCCCATACCCTGCGCAGACCGTGCCACAAGTCCGGCAGAGAGAGTGTCGGCGGCAGAGGCGGTGCCGATGCCCAGGCTGTGCTCACACCGCTTCTTCTGCAGCTCTTGCAGCCAGTAGAGCATCGTCTGCTGGTCTGCCGCCTGCACGCACCCATTCACAACACACCATTCAACGAGGCTCCTCCATTACCACCGCGCCACCAATATCCACTACTTGCATAAAGGTAAAGGTCACTTTCGAGACAGGACAATCTTAACAGGATTCATCATCATCATCATTATCATCAACCATGGTCTATCAACTACTGTATGAAGGCCTCCTAAATCTATTTCTATCCATCACGGTTCTGCATGTTGTAATCCATATTACTCCTGTATATGAGTTATCCACAACGTGGGTATGTTCAGCAGTGTCATTCTTTGGCCATTAGGCCTTCTAGCAGTTTGTTAAGAGTCGAATGTATTACTTTAACCCTGCGCATGTTCTCAAATCCATGCATTCCTTTTTCTGACTAAAGCACGATTTCTCTGAAAAAATTGAAAAAATAAAATAGTTTCTCTTAACTGACTGAAATATGCTCACATGAGTGTGATGCAACACTGTTTACAGTTGTATTTTCACGTCTTCAAATGAAGAAGTAGCAGTAGTCCGAGGAAAAGGAGATGTTTGAGTAATAAAACATTTAAACGGCATGGCACGATCTGTCACGAGTTAACTGGTATGACTATGTTACACAATAACCTACTCTGAACAAATGGTAACTTTGTAATCGGCCATAATGTATGATTTGTTGCATATTACTTTTCATATGATACAGCACCCAGGCCTCAACCTCTAGTTATATAACTTCACTTGACGAACGAGACACAATTCTAGATAGATTCACACTGCAGACTGAAAACCCACAAACTATACTTTTTCTCGATAAATTGAGAACACACTTGCTTGTTATTAATGACAGTACTGTAATGTACATACTCTTTGGTTCTATTCGGTAAAGTCACGTAGGTAAAAAATAAAACAACAAAAATCAGGACGCTGTCCTCTGGACAGTCCGTTCCCTTCACCTGATGAAGGCCACTTGTGTTGTGGCCGAAACGTCGTGATTTTTGTTGTTTTCTTTTTTACCTACATGACTTTACCGAATAGAACCAAAGAGTATGGATCCTTGCAGTCACGAAAGCTTCAAATCTAGAATTTAAGTACTGTAATGTGTTCGGTGTAAAATGCAGGCCATCTGATAAATCTCGAGTGTGTCTTCTTATCTATAAAAAGGCATTTTTTTGTCTTTCTGTCCGTCTGCCTGTCTGTCCGCACACTTGCAAAGGATTTGGCTCTCAAACGGTGGGGTTTAGGTGAGAGAAAAAATAGCCAGGTACCACGCCGTAAGCCCCGCGGTGAGCAAGCGCTATTCCTTTTTCACATCCCTCAACTTTAAATTAGTTAAATTAGCGATAAAGCGCGATGTTTCTTTAATTATATATTACACCACTCGGCTGACCGGGGGTTGCCCCTGGGAACGCACACGCGTCATCGGTGGTGGGATTTCTCTTTCGTCTTCATAATGCAAATAAACGCCAAGATAAATTCTTCAAAGTTTCATGGCCCCCCACCCCAATGTGTGCACTTACTACTATAGAATCCGTAGATATTATTTGTTATAGCGCTCTAGTCATAAGTGAAGCAAATTGGTACACATGAGAAGAATGTGCAGTGATGCCTACTTTATTGAGGGCGATATATTGGCACGGAAAATGAAGATTGATTGAATTAATAATTATACAAGCACTTTTAAATAAATGCGGGACTGTTTTGGAGGCAAACGAGTATCAATATGGATATGACGTTCACCTGTTTAATCCGTTGTCAAATGACTGAATGCACGTTTGCATATACTTTAATGTGGCATACCGTTGACGATGTTGAAATAATCCACTGCAACTATTTTCTAAGTGAATTATGCATCTATTTAAAGTTGAATATGGCAATACTGTAATTTCAGGAACAAGTATGTTATTTGTAAAAGAGGAAAATCTCGTGGTAACCAGATCTTAATGCGAGTAGTTATATGATGATAAAAGCTGGTAAACTGCCCATGATGGCCCGCAGAAACGATCAGTTATAAAGTAAAAAAAAAATATGTGGCGTAATCTAGCTGGGTCACTATAAACTCAGAAGTCCCAGTTTATGAAAATGAGCTTGAAGAGGATATAAAAGTTTAGCACTGTCTTTAAAATTAAAATAAGTAATGCTATGCAGTTGGAGAGCAAACATCTCGTTTAACTACTCAGAGATGCGCTGTAGTGTAAAGAGCTGAGCAAAACAGGGAAGTATAACATCTATTCAAGAACAGGCTTAGTTCTTATATATAAAAAAAAGGACACCCTGACTACTTAACCTTTTAAAAAGCTTTTTCATATGACAGGAAATAATTTAATTGAATAGAATATAGTGAGAGTTTATTGTATGTGTCTTCATGAACCAAGCGAGGACCCTATGAGAAAACTCTTTTGAGTAGAAAATCTGGGGTAAATATATGATACAGTTCAAGTAAACAGGTAAAACAGGTTAATACGTTCCAAAGCAAAGTATACACATATAAAACATACCTGTTCGCATTATATACCTGTAAACCTAAATCTTAAAAAAAAATACCTGAAAAAAGAAAAATACAGCACTACCTAAACACAAATTTTAAAACTAATGCATATCGTTTCAATCATGTAAAATAATAAAAACATGCCCCAATAATTCAAATAAAGCCACAGCTGGCATCATGGTTATATCTGATCTGCAACTGAATTCATATACTGTATTGGGTACATAGATAAAATCTGTGCGGAGGTTTGAATGTTATCCTCTCATATATCTGGGTTTTCTCCAGATGCTCTGGTTTCCTCCGACTTGCCAAACAAGTCTAATTGAAATTGACCAGACATCCTAACACAGGACCGCCTAAGAAAGAATACCCAGGAAAGCCTCGCTTATCATCATTATTACAGTGCTGCGGGGGTTTAAGATGTTGTCTCCCTCGCCTGGTATGCAGGAGGTCGTGCGTTCAAACCCGACGCCTCGATATTTGGAGTTTGCATGTTCTCCCCGTGGTCGCGTTTATAAACACCCACCTCAAACCTTTATAACATCCTGCCTCAGCAGCTCTCTCGCTATTTTATTCACCTGATGACGATTGCTTGTGTTGCGATCGAAACGTCGTGATTTTTTTTTCTCTATCTACGTGGCTTTACCGAAAGACCCCAAAAAAATATATAAACATCTGTTTAGATTATTTGGCTATCATTTGTGGCCAGGTCGCTTCTGAAAAATAACTAATAGCTCCAGTGGGCTTTAACTGGTAAATAATACATTTATTACAATTATTCTCCTGCTCACCACTAAATAAAGATCCCTCTGTGCCAAGGACACCGGCGCACCTATAGTTAAAAAAAAATATGGTTACAATTATCCCATACTTTCAACCACGCCAATTGTACGTGGCCTTGCCGAACCTTGCAGACATCAATGCCACCTCACCTCCAGGACACAGCGTCGCTCTGGCGTGCGGATCTCGAAGCGGCCGGGCTCGCCGTCCACGTCGTAGGAGAAGGAGGCGTGCGCCACCGATATGCGGCCCAGTGGCCTCACTTGTTTCGGGTCTCGGTAGTAGAGCAGCGAGCAGGAGCTCGCCTCCAGCGCGAACCAGCGAGTCTTGGCGGCTCGCAGGGGCCCCTTGCCGGCCACCTTGTTCAGATAGCCGCACAGCAAGCCGGCATCGCTGCCTGCCGCGGGCAGCTCGGACAGCGAGAGCTCCTCGAAGCCTTCGAGCTCGAGGTCGTCCTCATCTTCGTCGTCCAGGTCCATGTCTCCTTCTCGGGCAGAGTTCCTCCGCCTGCCGCCGATGCTATTGATGTTGCTGCTGCTGCTGCTGTGGCTGTGGCTAGGGCCGCCGTTTCCTTCACCTGTTCCACCACCTCCAGCCTGAGCGTCTCCACTTTCTCCACCGCTTACAGCAATGGGGCTTCCACCTTGAGCTCCACCAGATTCTAAAATTCTATCTCCTCCATCAACTTCGCCATGCCTCCCACTAAGTCCACCACCTCCACTTGCAGCACCTCTTCCACCCCCTCCAACTTCACAACCTCTTTCACCAGTTTGTGCACCTCCTGCACCATACCCTCTCCCTGCTCCGTCACTCCTGCCACCGGCTCTGTCACGTCCGGCTTCATCAGCTCTTCCTTCATGTGAACATTTGCAGTCTCCTCCTCCTCCTGCTGCTGCTGTTGGTGGAGACAGCTCAGAAGCCGCGTTCATTCTGCCCCGTGTTCGTTTAACCCTTGAAGAGAAAGCAGAGCTAAAGGAATGCAGACAACATCACCTTCAGCCCCTGTTGGGTGCTGAATGCGTGTTTGTTATATCGTATGCTGTTAAGACGAGATGGGTGGTGTACAAATCACGAGTCATACATACGTACATATTAAATCCTCCCCGCCTTGCTTCCTGCACGTGATCCTGATTTCCATTCGTATAACCTCATTGAATAAAAAAAAACACACGAAAATGCAAGCCACCGATGGAAGAACAAGACATTCCCTGAACACTTAAAGAGATATCGGTAGGGGCGCATCTGTATGGTACGAGATTGGCGGAAGTGGTTAGCGCAATGCGCGACCCGAGTCCCATTACCGCCCCACGGCTCCTCTCGAACCGTGTAGCAGCGAGCAAATCGCGGCGTGTAAACATCGGCACCATCCGGCTACTCACACGACCAATACCGCAGAGCTTGCTGTGATGTGAAACATTTAATGCTGGGATGCCAACATGCTATCGCTTTTGACAGCGGGTCACCACCTCGAGAACCATCAAGGGCGCAGGTGAAGGAGTAACTCGTAGCCAAGAGACAAAGATCCGCAAAACCCCCCTCCGCGTAAGCCTTTTAACAGAGTGTTGCGGACAAGTGCTGTTAGCGAGCAGGACCTATGAAGTAGCACGAGAAGGGGTGGGGGTGGCCAGCACCGCGCACGGCCGCCTTTGTCTCCCAAGTGGCGATGCATAACAACACCGCAGCAGGAAACTCACTTGAGGCCGAGTCCACCCAGAGGGGGTTCGTAGCGCAGCGCGCTACCCGCGACACTGCCGCTCCCCCGCCGGCTCACCACGAGAACCATCGAGAGCGCAGGTGAAGGAAAGAGGTGAAGGAAGGAAGAAAGGAGGAGGAGGAGTAACTCACAGCAGCAGCACCAGCAGCTTGGTGAGACGCAGCCGAGACTTTCTGAACACGGTCACGCTTTCGCGACCAGTATCAACGATCCACCTTTATTTATGTCGGAGCGGGGGGGCGGGGGGGACTGTGATCCTCGCCCACTCTCCTATCGCTCTCACACTCTCTCTCTGTCTCTCTCTGTCTCTGCTCGAGCTCCCCCTTCCCATCGCCAAAATAATCGGAGCACTCGGAATTTCAGACGGGCGGAGTGAGGGGGGGAGGGAGAGGCCGCGTTCGGAAGCCACATCCCTGGGCGACTTCCCCGAGGCCGGCGGCGCGCGTTCGTTCACTCCAAACTCCGTTGTGATTATTTTTTCTCCGATCCCAAGGTTCTTTGCAAACCCACGGGTTTTTTTTTTTCATCAGAGATTTGTTCACGAGGCAATTCAGATTTACAAACACAGACACAATTTCAACCGAGAAGATGGTTTCAAATTAAGCAACCATTGGAAAGATGTTCTAAATCGAACCAAACATTAAACTAATTTTCAATGGTACAGTATATTCTTTTCAAGTAGTGGTATCCCAAACTTTCGCAGCTGCTTAAATGCCCTTTTGACACCATCAATATGTAAACTCTCCTTCCCCCCTCGCCGGTCTGCACATGTTCACCTCCTCTACACCGTTCATCATGCTAAGTCCGCCAATTAAATGCAATTTTTCATGCTAATTCCTTTGTCAAGGCACCTTAATTCCTCTCACAAGCTTAAAGGTCCGCGGTCTGAGCGTGGCTGTGTTTCACTCCAGCGCTGTCCTCGAGACAGTCTGGTCCCTTCACCTGATGAAGGCCACTTGTGTTGTGGCCGAAACGTCGTGATTTTTGTTGTTGTTTTTTTTTAACCTACGTGACTTTACCGAATAGAACCAAAGAGTATGGATCCTTGCAGTCACAAAAGCTTCACATCTAGAAGGGTGGGGAGGGCCTGGTGGGGAGGTGGGGGCTGGGTAGGGGAGGGAGGGGCTGGGTGGGGAGGGTGGGGAGGGGCTGGGTGGGGAGGGGCTGGGTGGGGAGGGGCTGGTCACCCCGTGGTGCCCTTATAAAACTCAACGTTTCACCTACTCACGCCGGCTTGTGCCCGCCCTCACAGTCGGGCATATTGTGCGGAATACACCACGTGGTGCCGCCGTTGTTGACCCTGGCCATTGACCAAGCAACCCAACGTTCCTACCAGCTCCCTCCGCAGGAGAATGTGTTCTCGACTCGAGACAATAGCCCGGAACGTCGCGTGACGTCATAATGCAGGCAACGACATGACGTAACGATTGTAAAGGTCCGTCATCCAGCAGTGGATTGACCATGGCTGATGATGGTGATGTTACACAAGTCTCCCGAGCGTTGCCCGAGATTGCACTTAGAAAGTGTACACCCTTTGAATGTTTCTGACACGTTATGTGTCCGTATTTTCGTTATGGATTTTGTGAGATTATAGATGGTCAAGTAGCTTAAAATGTTGTGAAAACTAATGTTAGTTTAAAACGTAGGCTTTCGCGACCAATATCATCCATAATAGAAGTGACGCACCGATGTTTTGTTAAATTAATGTTAACTAATATTAAACAAAACATCGGTGCGTCACCGCGTAAAGAGCGGGGTGATCTCGTCATCTCGTTCAACGACATTGACGTCATGACGTCAAGACGAAGCTTTGCGTCACTACGTCATCACGTTATACGGTAAACGCGATGACGCAGAAATAGCATCCATAATTGGACATTATTTTGTTATATACTGCGTTGGCATTGGTGCAAGAAGCACATATAAAAAACTCAACAAACTGTTAATAACATTGCTTTACAAGGACAATATACAACAGGCGACGCTTTGGGCAATGGCCCTTCACAGCACATAGGCCATAGAGATAGAGTTAATAAGAGTTTTCAGGTACAGTATAACATTTGTAGGTACAGTGTCATACTTATCTCTTTACGTCTTCACGTAACACAACGTTTACTTTGTACTGAACGTGATGCGACGATAGCGGGTGTGTTATTACGTCAACACGTAACAACGTTAACTTTGCACTGAACTTTGACTTTCAGTATTCAGTTTATTTATTTTGGTATAGCCCTGTGAGCCATTCGGCTCTTGAATCGGGTGCAACCACAACAAATAAAAAAACACGAACAAGAAAAACATGTTAAAGTGACTATGTGACTGTGCAAACAGAAATCCAAGATAAAAAAACACAGCAAAACATTCCTGATAAAAGCACCGTACACCAACGCTGTGTGCAAAAAATCCCAGTGGGATGCAAGTCAAACAACAACAACCACAAGAAAAACTTAGATTAATGCCATCAGTCTAACTCCGTACTACAACAAAACAAACATGTCCAAACCAAAAAAACTTTTCCAAATCACCAAAAAATAAAGCCATAATTGCAACGTTAACAGTGATCATAGGGACTGTGACCGAATTTTTACAATAAACTACATAAATAACATGTAACACCAAATCCTAGAGCCATAGCTGGCTGCATGAGTTACTCCACAACAACAGAGGCATCAGTCGGAGTATCAAATTTTTCAATGCACCTTTAAGATCAGCACGCTATATCAAAATACAGATAATACTTTGCAGCGTCATCCGGAGCGAAACATTTTACTTTATTTTACGCCAATGAATAGGAGTGGCAGCTAGGGGTGTACAACTCCTCTAGAGCAGTTTTGAGAGAATATCTCATTGGTAGCGATTCAAGTTGCAGTTTATTGGCAATAGCATTCCAGACCCTGGGGGCATCAATAGCAAAGGCCTTTCCTCCAGTATTTGTACGGCAATAGGGAATGTGAATCTGGTAAATGAGCGAAGACCTGAGGTCAAATTTGTTCTTTGAAATAGAGAGGAGATCCAGCAGGTAGTCTGCGGATTTTTTTGTAAGTACATCGTGAATAAATAAGATCTGGTGCACAAGCCGTCTAAAATTAAGAGATGTTAAGTTTGGCCCATTGTAGAGATCACAGTGGTGAGTCCTATATGGGCAGTTCAATGTAAATCTTAAGGCCGAGTGATAGATGGAATCAAGCTTCTTCAGTACAGTACTTGGGGCTGATTTATACACGATGTCAGAGTAGTCAAGTAGAGGCAGTATGGTAGCTTTTATCAATTCCAAACGGAACGTTGGGGGGAAGCAGTGCTTGTGTCGATACAGAAAACCAATATTTATTTTTGTCTTTTACCAATATAATCAATGTGATCTTCAAAATTCAGTTTTGAATCCAGGATGACCCCAAGATACTTATAGATCTTGACTTGTTCTATTTGATAATTATTTAAGGAATGTAATTGGGGAAAAATAACTTCCTGCTTTAGTCCTGGTGAGAAGCATAGCAGCTTGTTTTTTTAGGTATTCAGGACTAGTTTAAAAGCAACTAGCTGATGTTGTAGTTTGTTGAAATCACCCTGTAGCTTAGCAATCACGTCATCCGGAGAGTGGCCAGCAGTAATCAGTATCGTGTCATCTGCAAAAAGATTTACCGTGGAATGATCCAGGTCAGTGCCCAAGTCATTGACATAAAGAGAGAACAAAAGGGGGCCGAGGATGGAACCCTGTGGAACCCCTTTTGTTATTTTAACACTGTTTGACCTCCAACCATGTGAATACAGTTTGGGTGCGAGAAAATAGGTAATGTTTGTAACCATTTTACTGCGTTTTCGGAAAAACCGAGGCAACTTAGTTTACTAAGCAGGGTGTTGTGGTCTACTGTATCAAAAGCTTTGGACAGGTCTAGAAAAGACAGGCACAGTACTGCTTATTATCAAGGCTACTGTAAATGTGATTCAGAGAGTCTAATGCAGCAGATGTGGTGCTGTATTTTTTTCGGAACCCAGATTGTTTTAGATGTAGTAGATTGTTGGTGGACAGGAAACTGCTAATATGGTAGGTCAATAATTTTTCTAAAATTTTCATCAATGGGGACAAAATTGAGGTAGGTCGGTAGTTATTTGGATCATCTTTGTGAAGTGGACGGTCATAGGAATATTTCCATTCTAGAGGAACTGATGCTTCTTTGATGGACAGGTTGAAAATATGGGCAATAGGTTTGTATATTAGGTGACCAACAGTTAGTAGAGCAAAGACGGGAATACTATCTGCTCCGGTAGAGGAGGACCCTTTGAGGTAGGACAGTTGTTTAAGAACATTACTTTCGTGGATTGGTTGGAAACTAAATTCGTTTAATGTTTGGACAGGGGTGTAGGAATTTGCATGAGCAGGGGTGACTCCCAATACATTATCAAAAAGATTACCAGCTTCAGAAAAATGAAGGTTAAAATTGTCAATTATTTTTTGGGGATCTGAAAAATATTCCCCATTTCGGTTAAGCTCAACGGGCAGATTGTCTGTTTTAGATGCCTTTTCGATACATTTGATTGTTTTCCAGAAAATCCTGGCATTTCCATGTGATTCCAGGAGAGTCGAGGAAAAGTAGGCATTTTTAAAACTTTCGTGACTGCAGGGATTCATATTCTTTGGTTCTTTCGGTATTCTTTGGTTCTTTCGCCTGATGACGACCGCTTGTGTTGCGATTGAAACATCGTTAGTTTTGGATTTTTTTTCCATCGACGTGACTTCACCAAAAGAACCAAAGCATTTGCACTGAACGTTATGATGCGATTGTAGTGTTTATAAAGACGAATACACTTCTTTAGGAGGCACACTCTGTTTATTGTAATTCCTTTCTTATACAGTCCTTAACACACAGAGGGGTATCCGGTCCCCTCACCCGATACCCTAAGGAGGTACAGCCTCCGGACTCAGCGTAACCTACACACAGGTCTCCTTGATACCAAAGGAGGTACAGCCTCCTAGCTTGGCGGGAATTGCACGTCTACCGCTACCCTATCCCAGCGTCCTCCGGCTGGGACCTAGGGGGGGCTATCTGACCAACCGCTGGCCCGGTGGGTCCTGACCGCTGGATACGCCGAGCCTTAGCCCTCAGAAGGGCTGGAAGGCTGGTCCAGGGTCCTAGCTAGTCTTCAGCCCGGGCTTCAGTCTTCGTGTAGGGAGAGAACTCCCCAAGCTCTGCGCGGTCACCCTTCTTATACTCGTTTGTGGCCAGGTGTAACCAATCCCACATTCCCACGTGGAACTGTCTGATTGGTTCTCCCCGACTGTGGCTACGATCCACTTCACCTCGTCTGACCCCAACCGTTATGTACATCGAGGTAACGCTGCACTGCCCCCTTGATACCTGGTGGCAATGCAGGTTACGGAACAGCGCGTAGTTAACACCTCTACACGATGATAACGGGCGCGCGTCATTACGTCATCACGTCATCACGTAACAACGTGGACTGCACTGAACGTGATGATGCGCCGATAAAGGGCCTGCCTCATCACGTCATCGCGTAACAACGTGGACTTTTATATTCTTGGTTCTTTCGGTAAAGTCACGTTGAAGGGAAATAATAAAATATATAAAACAATAAAATTCTCACGACGTTTCGACTGCAACACAAGCAATCATCATCAGGTGTTCACACCTGATGATGATGACTATGTGAACACCTGATGATGACTGCTTGTGTTGCAGTCGAAACGTCGTGAGAATTTAATTGTTTTATATATATTTTATTATTTTATTGTTCCCCTTCAACGTGACTTTACCGAAAGAACCAAGAATATGAACCACTGCAGTCACGAAAGCTTTAAATCAAAATTTAACGTGGACTTTGTACTAACGTGCTGATGCACCGATAACGGGTGCGTCTTTGCGTCATCACGTAACACAACGTTGACTTTTCACTGAACGTGATGATGCGAAGATACGGGCCTGCGTGATTACGTCATTACGTAACAACGTTGACTTTGTACTGAACGTGATGACGCGTAGATAACGGACGCGCGTCATTACGTCATCACGCACGCCTACGGGTCGCGCCTTGTTGCTGTCTGCGATTTGTTTTGTTTTCGCGAAGCGGAAATTGACGCCCGCACTTTGACGTGAGTGGGCGAGTCCCATCGGAGTTCGCACAAGTGCGCGTTCGTTTTAACGTTTACCCCCAGCGACCGCATGTGTCGAAGCGCCGCGACGTTAAGAAACATTACATCTCACAGCGCGCGTAGAATAAAGATTTAAGACGGGCCTCAGGCGGAGTGCAGATCTGCGTTCCGAATCGCTTTGTCTGAGAGACCCGTCAGGCCGCATCCTCTCAGCGCCTCTATTGTAGTAAAGTATTTTACATCACGAGCCACGTACACTACTAAACAGACGTGCTTTTTTTTGTACCAGCGTTATTAGCCCCGTGTCGCCTTCACTCGCGTCGATGAGAGACTCGGAGCTGTGAGGTGATTTTTATTCGCGGTGGTGGTTTATAGAGGATCTCCCTTTCTCTTACTGCTAATGAATGTTGTTCAACCTGTGTCTCACTCTGAACAACAACAACAGCAGCAGGGACAGCGACGTGGATCTTCACGGACGGACAACCTCGAGGATTTTGAGAGCGCACTCAGAACAAAGCCATGCCGCTGGCGACTTTTTTCGGATGTACCTTCATCGCTTTTGGGCCGGCATTTGCGCTCTTCATCCTCACGGTGGCAAGAGATCCTCTCAGGGTTATCATCTTCATCGCAGGGTCCGTGCGCCTGTTGCGTGCTCTCGCCCCTCTCTCGTCTCTCTAGGGGGTTGTTTGTTGCGCCTGATGTGAATGGTTTGGGTTTGTTGAGTGACGTTTAACACGTAGGCTTTCGCGATCAATAGTCTTAATATAGGGGTTTTTTGGGGGCTGGATCGCGTAAATGTGTCGATACAACCGATTAGTAAGGTTTGTCACGTAAACAGAACGTGCCCATTCGTTACTAGTACAGCACTATCCGGCGTGTTGGAGAGCAAATCCACAACATTTACAATCCGAGTACGACGTTTCGACAGTAATTACAACTAGCATCATCAGGCGGACAGCCAAATTTGGGCAGCCAGACGTCAAATCTGGCTGTCCGCCTGATGATGGTGGTTGTAATTACTGCCGAAACGTCGTACTCAGATTGTAAATGTGGATTTGCTCTCCAACACACGGTATTGCTGTTCTAGTAACGAATTGGCACGTTCTGTTTACATGACTACCCTTACTAATTGGCTGTGTCGGGTGGTGGCGGGTTTAACGACACATTTCTATTTACGAGATCCAACCCAGAAAAAACGTATATTATGGATTATTGTGAAGGTCTCTTTATGGGACCCCATGAATGTCCAGGTGAGAGAGGGGATTGAGGTGAGTTGTTTGTGAGACCAGGTATGAGGCCACTGAGACCAGTTAGTCTCTTGTAACATGAATGTTAACATATCATATTAAACTTGTTTTATGATATGATATTAGAGGTTGTAAGCCTACATTGTGCAGCAAATGCTTTCGTTGGTACTATGCTCCCACATATATATGCTCCCCCACCTGCAACAACACCTTCAGTGCTAGCACGCTGCGGTCTGTACCCGGTGACCTAATTTATGTTTGCGGCCACTGCTAACATCAGTGGCGAATAGTAACGGAGCCGGCTGTGGACCAACCTGCACTACTCATTGTGGAGAAATAGGAGAAACCTCCACAGCCCACTTTGCTTGACGAGGCCCTAATCCGGCAGTTGATTGACAGATGGTTGTACATATATACAAGGGGTTTAAGACCAGGAGTCTCTTTTAGCCTGAATGGACTTGTTCATATAGATTTACTTAACACGTAGATTTTTTTCGCCAATATTTCGATTCATAATTGTTCTATGGGTTAGGCCACGTCATCTGGATGTTATTCGGAATTCCTATAGTCTTCCTAAAGATGCTTAACAGTCACAAGCGAAATGTATTTCATTACAGGCTAAAACTGTAATTGTCGCATTAAACGTTTGTGCAAGTGACAATTACATCCAGTACATTTGTTTGCCCGTGTTGGATGGTGGAGGGTCTTAGGGCAGAAATGTGGCAGATTAATTTCATAGCCTAACCCAAAAATCTATAATAAATTAGACATAGATTGAGAATACCTTTTGGGATGTTTGTCCGATTCCATTTCAGTGAGTTTTATGTGTGGGTGGAAACTGAAGTACTGTACCTGGAAAAAACACATGGATAAGAGTTGATAACACTCTTAAGATCTAAACATATTGTTGATGAAGTTACTGTACTTTTGGTACTGCCATTTCCTGACCACCTTGCAGCCCAATGGGTTTCAGAGTTTGACAGATCCACACTCGGTTTAACACGTAGGCTTTCACGACCAATATCCATAATAGGGTTTTTTTGGGTTCACCAACACTTGCATTTCAGGTTTGTGCCACCACATTTACAGTTAAAAGGTTTTCCAGTGAAGATATTTAGGAGTTACATATATCTGATTGCTGTGCACAATTTCACTTCTCTAAAATGAGAAACGTGCATTTTATTTTTCAGGGCCTTCTTTTGGCTAGTCTCTCTGCTCTTATCATCGCTGGTGTGGTTCATCGCCACGAAGGCAAGTGATCGAAAGAATGAGGAGCTGCAGCATGGCCTGCTCATCTTCGGCGTGCTGCTCTCCGTGCTCTTCCAGGAGGTCTTCCGATATGGATACTACCGCCTCCTGCGGTGCGTAGAGCCTCCCCGGCTCTCTTCCGTGCACCGATCCACCACGCCCTAACAGAGAGCAGCTTTAAACCAGGGCTGGGGGGTACCTATAAGGACCTTAATCCGCTTCACGCAGCCCCTGGCCACAGAAGGCCTACCACTTCGAAACAGCCTGTAAACAATAGTTTTCTGTCATAAGCATCTCAACTACACCATTCAGGTACGAGAGGGGAATTAATATTTTTGACCTGACAATTTTTTAGCATGGTCGGCTGGCCACCTGTTAAATTTTCAGTCATTCTGAGTACACAGTCAATGCAAATAGTCCTAGTGTGATCAAAGTTTAGCGTCAAATAATGTGTGGCCCTCTTATGGTGCTCGAGTTGTGAGATTTGCTTGGGGCGAATTTCACCTGTAAATGTTCACTTTTGCAGGTTGCAACAGGATAGGTCCCTGAATCTTATTTCTGTTACTTTTTGTGCATATTGAGTGGATTTAAGTAAAGTTACTAAAATGGTTTTGACCGTATATTGTGAATACTGGGTCATTATTAATTATAAATACCATAATAAAGGAACTAAAATCATGGTTTGGGTTATGGCCATTTAAAAATTGAAAGGCAAAGTTAAGGAATACAATGTCAGGAATTGCTTTGTTTTGAATTGTCATACCAAGAATTTGTCTTCAGTACCTGACACTGGATACTGGAACAGATGGCTACATGAAGGGGATTACAGTGAGATAGGGAGATTTGGGACATGGCTGTATTCAGGATGTGAGTTTTTGCATTTGTGGGTTTAAAACATTGTTTATTGCAGTTTGGTGAATGTTTATTTTTTTATAGCACCTCTTCCTGTGCCAGCCGCCCGAGCAATGTGTTGTACAGTCCCAGTGGCAGGTTTGAACAACAATTAATGCCAGTCACGTGATGCATGTAATGCAATCAATCGTGTTATTTTAACCACATACATACAGTGAGGGAAAAAAAGTATTTGATCCTCTGCTGATTTTGTACGTTTGCCCACTGACAAAGAAATGATCAGTCTATAATTTTAATGGTAGGTTTATTTGAACAGTGAGAGACAGAATAACAACAAAATAATCCAGAAAAACGCATGTCAAAAATGTTATAAATTGATTTGCATTTTAATGAGGGAAATAAGTATTTGACCCCTCTGCAAAACATGACTTAGTACTTGGTGGCAGAACCCTTGTTGGCAATCATAGAGGTCAGACGTTTCTTGTAGTTGGCCACCAGGTTTGCACACATCTCAGGAGGGATTTTGTCCCACTCCTCTTTGCAGATCTTCTCCAAGTCATTAAGGTTTCGAGGCTGACGTTTGGCAACTCGAACCTTCAGCTCCCTCCACAGATTTTCTATGGGATTAAGGTCTGGAGACTGGCTAGGCCACTCCAGGACCTTAATGTGCTTCTTCTTGAGCCACTCCTTTGTTGCCTTGGCCGTGTGTTTTGAGTCATTGTCATGCTGGAATACCCATCCACGACCCATTTTCAATGCCCTGGCTGAGGGAAGGAGGTTCTCACCCAAGATTTGATGGTACATGGCCCTGGCCATCGTCCCTTTGATGTGGTGAAGTTGTCCTGTCCCATTAGCAGAAAAACACCCCCAAAGCATAATGTTTCCACCTCCATATTTGACGGTGGGGATGGTGTTCTTGGGGTCATAGGCAGCATTCCTCCTCTAAACACGGCGAGTCGAGTTGATGCCAAAGAGCTCCATTTTGGTCTCATCTGACCACAACACTTTCACCCAGTTGTCCTCTGAATCATTCAGATGTTCATTGGCAAACTTCAGATGGGCATGTATATGTGCTTTCTTGAGCAGGGGGACCTTGCGGGCGCTGCAGGATTTCAATCCTTCACGGCGTAGTGTGTTACCAATTGTTTTCTTGGTGACTATGGTCCCAGTTGCCTTGAGATCATTGACAAGATCCTCCCGTGTAGTTCTGGGCTGACTCCTCACCGTTCTCATGATCATTGCAACTCCACGAGGTGAGATCTTGCATGGAGCCCCAGGCTGAGGGAGATTGACATTTCTTTTGTGTTTCTTCCATTTGCGAATAATCGCACCAACTGTTGTCACCTTCTCACCAAGCTGCTTGGCAATGGTCTTGTAGCCCATTCCAGCCTTGTGTAGGTCTACAATCTTGTCCCTGACATCCTTGGAGAGCTCTTTGGTCTTGGCCATGGTGGAGAGTTTGGAATCTGATTGATTGATTGCTTCTGTGGACAGGTGTCTTTTATACAGGTAACGAGCTGAGATTAGGAGCACACTCTTAAAGTGAGTGCTCCTAATCTCAGCTTGTTACCTGTATAAAAGACACCTGGGAGCCAGAAATCTTTCTGATTGAGAGGGGGTCAAATACTTATTTCCCTCATTAAAATGCAAATCAATTTATAACATTTTTGACATGCGTTTTTCTGGATTTTTTTGTTATTCTGTCTCTCACTGTTCAAATAAACCTACCATTAAAATTATAGACTGATAATTTCTTTGTCAGTGGGCAAACGTACAAAATCAGCAGGGGATCAAATACTTTTTCCCTCACTGTATACCATATGCAATAAAGGAGTGAGATTGCAGGTTCACATTGAACAACGAATGCAGCGGTGGATTCATGAAAGGGCTGTATTTGTACATTCTTTGTTTACTACATTTAGTCTTTAATTTGTCGAGCCTTTATTAATTTTTATGAATATAAACATAGAAACTGACTGCTTTGGTTTAAATAAATTACAAGTGAAAATGTGCACATGTTGTTATCCACTTGAGCATCATTTTAGTGTATTTATTTACAACACATGCCGCCAACGTACCTAGCCACGAAGAAATAATTCACTTTGTAGGTTAGATGATGTCTCAGTGTCTCAAGCTATTTACAAGCGTTTGATGATTACATAATTGGCAACACATTAGTAAAACTAATTATAAATACTGGATGTTCCATGTCAGGTAAATGGAAATCGAATTGCAGCTTGCTGTTAGTGTATCGCTAGCATGGTGGTTAATGAGTCTTTCCTTATCTGTGTAGGAAAGCTCAGGATGGCTTGGTCACATTCAGCCAAGACAATAGGCCTCCCATCAGCATGCAAGAGATGGCGTATGGTAAGGCACTGTGTTTATTTTTATTCATGAAAATTAGAGCAGATGTTGCTTTAACCCTTGATAAAACAGTGTTCACATCAAATACAAATTACACGCACATCTTATGTTTAAGTTAAGAGATAAACTAAAGCAATATGATATAAGACAATATAAACTCGACGAAAAGAATCGATCCTTGAATCGAATCCTGGTCCCTGAATTCTGACATTGCATTGTATTGCGGGATCAACCATTCCAAGTCTACTAAATGAGTAAGATTACTTGCCTGTATTTTCATGAATTTAAACATGCCCATCCCTGCAGTGGCCGGCTTGGGATTTGGAATAATCAGTGGGGCTTTCTCGGTCGTGAACATCCTGGCGCAGTCGATCGGGCCTGGAACTGTCGGGATTCGCCAGGACTCTGAGTACTTCTTCCTCACTTCGGGTGAGATCCTCTGACATATACCTGCGAGCACTACGGGACAAGTTAACAGCACCTCCGGCGCAATGCGTTGTTCACCAATTAACCAGCAGGTGGCATGAGCATGCTTTGACAGCGCATTTCCATCCAAACAACGGTTAATTCTGAACTATAGCTGCCTAAATCGCTATCTTTTGGCATTCTTGCAAGACCTGCAATTTCTTTGTTGGGTAATTTTTTTCTTGATATTCAGGTAATGATTTGCCTTTAAAACACGCGTGTGTTTGTGTGTGAAAGTGCAGTGGTTTGTGTACTGCGCTTAGTTACAGAGACCTTGCTTCGATACTTGAAATCTGAAAGCTGTCTAAGGCCACCCATTGCTCCACTCAGCCTTAAATGAGTACCTGGTGTGGTGTATAAAAAACACTGAAGAGGCAAATGTGGCTGGGCATAGTGGTAGCCACACCACACCCGGACTCTTGTGGGTGCTTGTGAACAATACTTGTTATCTGGTTAATTGGGGGATCTTTGTTGCGTGTGTGTGCAGCATTCCTGACGTTGGCAGTGATTCTTCTGCACATGTGCTGGGGTGTCGTGTTCTTCGACGGTTGCCAACAGAGCCGCGTTTGGGCCGTGCTTTTAGTCATTGCCTTGCATTTCCTCGTCTCGTCCATGGTTAGTTGTTTGCAAGGATGCCATCATCACTTCCTCACCACCAACTCACCTACAATTAGTATTGCCAGTTTAATAAATAGTGAATACCTAAATAGGTACAGTTAAAATATTCTGTATTTGCTTACGCTGTCGACGAACGTCTACCCATAAGTCGGTCACTATTTGCTTTGAATAGTTGTGCACACTTACAATTGAGTGACTTGCAAGTGACGTTGGTGATTTACATGGAAATTAATCCCTGTGAAAGGCACCCACCTGGCCAAATATTGGGTAAAAGCATTTAGATCATGATCGTTTTTGAATTCGTAATTAAACTCAGACAAGTTTCCTGCATAATACAAAGAAATTGATTTGGTGTTCTCTACTAAACAGAGGGTGGAGCTGTGGAGCAGTGGTTAGAGCACTGGACTTCGAACCAAGTAACCCGAGTTCAATTCCCGGCCATGGCTAACGTCATTGGCAAGTGATATCTGACCCAGTCCTGAGCCCCCTTCCCCCCTTCAACCCACACTGACCATGTTAAAGTATGGCTAAACAACCTCTATGACTGACACAAGTGTGAGGTGGTCTTCATCGAGAATCAGATTGACAAAGGGCTGTCCACTATATTGTTACTATGATCCATTTCACCTATATAAATAATTTTTAAAAGACAGCTTTTAGTCTGTAGTCAAAATGAAACGATCACATCATGCAGTTGGTCTTCGTTTAAATTGTACCTAATATTGCATATATGCATAATCCAAACTGTATGCAGCTGATGCCTTCATCCATAGTGCGTTGACATCGGGTTGTGTGTTGCTAATCAAGTTATTCGGCTGAGGTGACCGATTTGTGTGCGCATTTGTGCGGCAGACATTCCTGAACCCCGTGTACGCGGGAAGCCTGGTGCCTACGTACGTGGTGCTGGTCGGAATGCTGCTGTGGGCATTCGTCGTAGCTGGAGGCACCCCGGAGAGCCTGCACCGCGCCCTCACCTGTAAGGGTTTGGATTATGGGCTCACCTCCGTTCTCATGCTGGATTGGTGCGGTCTGAGAGGTTGCTGTGAGCAGTTATGTTTAAACTACACACTACTCGAACATAAAATGATTACCGTACAATTGTGTTAAGTTTAACACGTAGGCTTTCGCGACCAATATCATCCATAATAGAGGTTTTTGAGTTAGATCGTGTAAGTATTGTGTGAAGTTGGCATGAACTCTACATGCCAAGCGGCTGTTCCTGAATACCGAGCATGTGTTGTATTCACACATGCATTGTGTTGTAGTTATCACATTATTCAAGTACTTTGAGCCGACTCTCAAACACCGTTTGAGAATAGGCTCAAAATAAAGCTGTCTCTGGTGTGGACCAATCAGTTTCAAAGACAATGCATATATTATCAGAGTACTTTTTTTTTGTATTCTGACCACAAATATTGTGGGTTAATGCAGACATGATTCCTTGTAAAAGGTTTCAGTTTGGTGTTTTAACATATTAACACCTGTTTTGTTGCCAGAAAAAACGGGAGACACTATTCTCATGTGTTTATGTCCTTGGTTTAAGCACATTGTGTACTTGCAATGAAAAATTACCCAGACAGCATGGTGAGTAACCATCATCCGGGCAGTGGATTGATAAAAAGGGCTGTATAACATGTACATGAGTATAATGCACTCAATGATTTAAGAAAATAGTCATATTTTTGCGACTCAATACATGGATTTCATGCTGCAGACACAGTACATGATATGTTGGTGGCAGTGTAAAACCGTTAATGCTCAGAGGTAATGATAGTTTTTAACTATTGACAATTTTATTTTAGATTTACAGAGTAAAACCAAAAAATCTACAGCTTTAACGACTTTGCAGGGTATTACAAAGTCAGCTACTGTCTAATTATTTAATAGTATGGCACACTTAACATCACAGGATTGATTGAGAGGCTGTCATCAATTTACAGCCCCCACGTGCCTACTTAAACTGCTGGCTAGTGTTCTTGTATCCATCATAATATGCACAGACACCCACTTCTGTGGTGAATTTAAAGGAAAGATCGAGGCTGTTTGTTAATGTGTTGATTGATATATGGTGTTTATTTAATTACTGCAAAATCTATTTTATCACAACATTGCCATCGGTGCAGTGTCCAGGCACTAAGCCGAGTGGTTTAGCACTTCTAAACATGCATTGTTGACCACCTGGGGCGCTAAGTGGGCCACATTCCTAACAGTGCTAATATTCACACTCATTCACAGGCAGCAAGGAAGCTGATTGATCCAGACATGAAAAGTACGGAAAGATGGAGCCCAGGATGGTGACTGCTATGTGCAGCTTTCAAAGATGGAATGCTCACAAGAAACAGGGTTGAACACAAGAAAATGTACTAAATATATTCTGGACACTTGGTTTTGTATAAAAAGACAACATAGTAAACGCATATTTTGCAATGGTCTTTTTGCAGTGTAAATGTTTCCACATGGCTTCTGTCAAGAGACAGCGTTACTGCTTTAGATGTCTAATCGAGCAGCAATAAAGCACAACACAGTTTTGGTGATGGCAATTATAGTGAAACTATTTTCTGAAAACAAATGGAAGATATTTGTATTGCTATTGCAGATTGTATTCTGACATTTGCAAGTTACATAACGAAAAATATATATTTCCAACAAAAGCAACAATCTAAAATACTTTTTTTAATCCAGGTTTAGTTTTTGTATTTAAGTTTTTCTGGGGCTTAAATTCTTGCCACCTCGGTTCTCCATGAACCATGCTTGCCAATTTGTAAACTAATTTTATTTCTTAAATCCCTAATTTGAAATCATTTTTAGTTGTCATGATAATGATTAAGAGGATTAATTTGTCTACTTGTTTTGAAATAAAACAATGCGATTCATCTTTTTTTATATTGTACAGAAGTTACTACGAGCGATGTGCTTTATCTGTAACACAGGTTTCGCTTACCAGCAGTGGCATTTTTTATTTTGGGCAGGGAAATAGTGTGGGGCAGTAACATAGATTCAAGGCTGTGTTGGCATTCACTGTATTTCATTCATTGTTACCTTTGTCGTGATCACTGTATTATATTATTTTTGCATCTCTTAAATATCTTCTTGGTTCTTTCGGTAAAGTCACGTAGAATGGAAATATATTTTATTTTTATTATTTTATTTCCATTCTACGTGACTTTACCGAAAGAACCAAGAAGATGAATCCCTGCAGTCACGAAAGCTTTAAGTCGAAATAAAATATCTTAAATACTTTATACACAGGAATAGCACAAGATCTAAAAACGAGTGATGTGTTTTGATAACAAAGGGTGTTCATTTTCCACACGTTGAAAGCATTGTACAACACCGCATTGTATAATATTGCATGAAATGTATTGCAGGATCATTTAACTATTTTTTTTTATATTGGACCACAGGTGTTACAGGTGTTTAACTGCCTTGCGTGACACTTGATGTATTTCTGCAAATAAAGTGGTTCAGTATTGCATCGGGACCTCGTAGCAATATACATATCAAGGTGTGCGACGTGCACAGAACAGTGCAAACACCTGTTCGATGCTGTATATACTTTTTGTCGTTATTAATTTTCGTCTCAGGACCATTTTCAGGAATTTACTGCTCCGCGGGCAACGACTTCCTGTTTACAGTTCTAAACGATGGCTGTGTTCCCCGTAGTTCTACCGGTGAACTAGAACAAAGAAACATTGACCGTGCACAAAAGTTTGAAACAAAAAAAACAACCCCAAAGGGACAACATTTATTTAATGAGCGGTGTTTTTGCCGATGTCTTCTGCAGTCCGATAATTGTGTGCTCACGCTGAATGCTGCAGTAAAAAATTATATCGAAAGGTACGATGCATTGCCATTCACGTGCTTGGGGAATTCTACTTGTCTGCTTGTGGGGGCCTTGGTGCTTTCCTTTCGCATTTGGATGTCAACACTGTAAGTTACAATTCTGGTTCACCTGCCACCTGGTGAAGGATTTAATCACGGTGTGAAACTCGCTCTTGTGAGCTTTTCTGTCGGAGGACTTTACCAAATAATCTTGTTATAAAGATTTTTTGATGCGAATGATTCAAGAACAAACGTTACCTGGTTAACACATTCCTTTTGCTGTTATACTTTCACATTGTAAAAAAATGCTAAATGAAATAATTCTCTCAAACGTTTTTCTACATTTGTGCACAACTGCCTTATGTAAGCTTTTTGTTAAATAAAGTAAAAGCAATTGTGCCTTTTCGTATAAGTTATTTGTATGTCCTGGTATATTGTCCGTCCCCGCACCTCCAATTAGCACGGTTGGCTACGTGCCGTGCGAAAGAAGTTCAACATACACACATGACCTAACAATGATTTAAATAAATTAAGGGTGTGTCCATGGCTCAAATGTTACACCTGCTTCAGCAGTTGTAGTTCACTGCCAAACAATTGTCACATCTTATTGTGTAGTTAGTGCCAGAGGACCCACTTTTACCATTGAATATGCTGTATACGTCAGTGATTGAGCATGTGAGAAAAACTTTCATGACGCTCAACAATCTCCCAAAAAATTATGGCTGCAGTGGACATAGTTTATGCCAGCACAGGATTCACTGAAATCTTTATTATTCCTAGATTCAAGGTAGATACACGACTTTTGCAGGACACAGGAAGCCTGACACCCGCAAGCCACAACGCTCCCAACGCACGGCCATATTTTCAAGGCCATAAAAAAAAGTCTGGCTATTGGCTGAGGTGTATGATACTGTGTGAAGCCCTTGGGGTAATGTTAAATATTAAGTTGTGATAAATTATGTAGGAACACGCATTCCTTTGCTGTCCAGGCACATATCTAGCATCTCAGGCACTGCGTTCTTAGTCCAAACACCTTTCCACCGTCCCTTCTAGCGGATGTATCCTGACCAAGCCCACTTACGTTTTATTAAGAGTCAAAGTGATGTCTCTATGTATGCTTGGAACTCCGCCGAGAGACGGCAGAACACACGGACGATGTGCAGCCTGAATATTTGATTATTCAGTTGCCACTGTCCTATGATTTTCACACAGAATTTGTTGGCCACAGCTGACGCACAGATAAATCAATCAGCATTTTGGCCTGATATTTGTGGAGTTCACGAACAAACTAAACATACCCAAGTTAAAATTCAGTTCTAAAGGTTAAACTTCGAGCTTAGACATTGCACAACTGTAATTTTGGAAACGGAAAACCAAAAAAACAATTGACACAGATGTTAACATAAAACAATTTGAAATGAAAAAAAACAATTGACACATGTTAACATAAGACCATTTATTATGGGTTTATAAGCTAAATCATACATTTTACACAACGTGCAATTATAATCCGTTTATTAGAATAAAGTTATCACATACGGCTGAGGATGACAACATTGCCCGTTTAAAAATCACGATGCTTTATCAAGTGTCTCACAGGAGCTCTACATTTTGAGCCACAACATTAAAGAGGCAGAACAGGGAATGCGGAGGGACGGAAATTACAAAACACGGCCCCGCCTCGAGAGGAAACAAACTCTTAGAGAAAGCGAATGCAATACCCTGACATTATTGTCCCACAAGCAAAACACGCACGGGTACATTGTGCACGCTCAGCGTTTGTCTGAGGGGGCACGTGAGCCAATATTAATAACCCGTCAGGGCTTAATTCGTTCTGGTCACGGTGAGTCAATCCAGGTGAGCGTGCGTCCCACGAGAAGACGGCCCCGGTCCCAGTGTCACCACGAGGAGCGCTGCCACGAGGTGGGGGTGGCTTCCCTTGACTGTAACATTGCAATGCAATGGATGACATGTTGATGTAAAGCACTTTCAGTTGCTAAGGCTATATGGAGAGGCACTTGAGGTTTCAGGCAGACAGCCATTACCCCCATCAGCTGCCGCTTAAGCCCTCCCCGCAGAAGGCCGACAATGACGGTGAAAACAAAAGCACTATGTGGCCATTGGCGTCATCTAATTGCGTTTGTGCAGAGAGTGCGACGCCCTTAGATGTGAGCGTGCCCGAACAGGGCTTTCACACCAAACCAAACAGCGCACAGAAATGCACAGGGTGGTTGCAGATGTCTTGTGCCCCAGCAAATAAATTGACCCCTAATTTTTTTGTTTCTTCATTTGCTTATTCGTTTCTATCTTGATTTGAAGCTTTCGTGACTGCAGGAATCCATACTCTTTGGTTCTTTCGGTAATAGTCACGTACGTAGAAAAATCAAATTAAACAACAACAAAAATTCTCACGACGTTTCGATCGCAGCACAAGCGGTCATCCTCAGGCGGAAAAAATAATCCAGCAGTGGAACTTTTGAACCGGCGAGAGAGCTGTTGCAACAACAAGAGGTTATTTATGTGGCGATGGGCAAGCAAGCGGGGGCTGAGCTGGAAAGGAATCCCATCCACGCAAGCACGTCAGTTGTGTTAATGGGGGAGATAGGGAGAGAGAGATTAGGGAGAGAGATGAGCATGAAATGAGCTTCCGAGTATCGTCCCCGCATATGCGCACAACAGCCGTGTTAATGGGAGACTAGCACTATGTTGATGGGATAGATTAGGCAGGGAGATTAGGGGGATTAGCAAGTTAATGGCATGTCTTTGTGAAACACAAGCTGCGGCGCTGCCAACTGCTCTGTGATACAAAGCCCATCACACAGCCAGAACCATCGATACATCGAGGCTAAGGGAGAAGAGGTGGCCATGTTAGTGGGACCCCAGCCCGTTAATGCAGAGGCACCTAACAGGGCAATGCAACTCAGAGAGTCGGAGATAACAGCCAAACGGCAGGGAAGAATGGAAGCACCGCAGCAAGTTACGACTTTGCTTGGTTAATAACGTCCTTCCGATGATTGCTCAGCTTATACCCATCTTCTCGGTTGAAATTGTCTCTGTATTGAAATATCTGGATGGCTTCATGGACAAATCTTTTATGGTAGCCCGAAGGTTTGCAGAGTACCTTGGTCTCGGAAAAAACAAGATCGTGCAAGCCCACTGCGTTATAACAATGGTCAGCCACGGCAGAGGTATTGGTTCTGCCGTGTTTCAGATCTGCCTTGTGTTCGCGAACACGGTCCGAGGCATGTCGTTTCGTTTCCCCAATGTAACAGCCACCACAGGTGCAACTTAGTTTGTAGACACCAGGGTATTGCATGTCAGGAATGACATCCTTCACAGATGGGATCAAATCACGGATTTTGTGTACTGTATTGAATCGGACCTGGAACTTGTGTTTAAGATTTTGCAAATATTTTTGGAAACACTTGCTATGTATGGCAAGGTGATGGTTTTGATTGGGTCTTCAGATGGTTGTCTCCCCATGACTGGGGATACAGCTTTGCGGATTGTGCGGTCTGAGTATCCATTCATCATGAGGGCTCGGTGTATCGTGCTCTAGCTCACTGGCTAGGTGGCGCTGGTTGGAGATGCAGCGGGCCCTATGGTGTAGTGTTTTGATGAAGGAGTTCTTCTGAGCCGGATGGTGGTGGGAGTCAGGCTTTAGATAGGAATCCGTGTGGGTGGCTTTCCTGTAGACGGAATGACCCAAGGAGCCATCAGGCCTCTTCTCGATCAAAACATCCAGGAATGGTGGCTTGCCATAATTTTCCACTTCCATGATGAATTTGATGGATGGGTGTATGGAATTGACAAAAACAAAACACTACCACATAAATAACCTCTTGTTGTAACAGCTCTCTCGCTGGTTCAGCACTTCCACTGCTGGATTATTTTTTCTGCATGAAGACGACCGCTTGTGTTGCCATCGAAACGTCGTGATATATTATTCGTTTCTGTTTTCACACCCAATAGTATACAGAAAAAAATACGACGTTTTATAGAATGAAACGCGAGTCACAAGACATACGGACCACCCTGTACATAGGATCTCCACCTGTTCCGTTTTTTTTTTTCCCCAGGACCATCCCTCTTTTTGAGGAAACCATCCCGATAAATCTTGTCAGCCGTTCCGAGACAACGATTATACGACTAGTTTTCCCCTCTTCTGGTATTATGAGAAACCTTTCTTCCCACGATATGCCCCTCATTTTGTGTACCTCCTAAGGTGGCAATCATAAATGACGCTCCCCTACTTACGCTTTTAAAAGACGGACCAAAGTACGCTCGCCCATGCAGAACCTGTTTTGCCAGATTTCCAGTTACCAGGCCCCTGTGACTGAGATTCTCAACCCAATTGCATTCAATGTCTCGTCACTGTACTCTGCAAATTGATCCAAACTCATTGTTGAAATTCTTTTTTGGGCAATTTAATCACAAAGTTAATTCGGTTTAGACATAGAAGCATTTAATTTAGACAAATATAGTACTGTAGTACTACGTTGATTTTTTTTTTCAAACAGCATAACATACAGAATTTTTTTAAAATGTACTTCATATACAATACACAGTATATATGAACATCCTTATGTATCCTAATATTCATATAATATCTATTAAATCTACGAGCTCTCCCTGGTTATAATGACCTCTTACTTTGCTCATGACCGTTATTAAGCCACACACAGATTTCCGTGAAAACACTAAGCCTTATGGGACAGAGCATGTGCAATCACATAAAGAAATAGAGCACTTTGGATAACTTCACCCGGCAACCCACATTAGCATTCACTACCACCGCCCACTAACCAGAATAATATACAACCACTATGTATCACTGCCAAGTTAACACACTAATATCTTGGATGATATTTGTCAAACACTTTTGCAGAAATATTACATTCAGTGAATAAATAGTGGTCCCGAATTCAAATTAATCAAATGAGTTGTTCAATTTGATAAGTGGCATCGAATTGTATGTGGCGTGCGTATGTTTAAGATACATAGCATGACTATGATGTCACCTTTTCTGTGACAGCATGACTCAGGCTATATAGATTTTTTTAAGGCATGCAGGATGTAATGTCTAGCTTGGATTATTAATTAGGCGAAAGTCATTAAGTCTGATGTACAGGTTTCTTGCGTTTAACTTCACAATACTCAACAATATACATGTCCGAGATCGGTATTCCCTAAACGTTCTGGACGTGGACCACTATCAACCATAAAAAATATTTTTCGCGGACAACCATTCACCATAAAAAAAACACATTTGTTTGAAAATTAAAACGAGTCTAAAACTTTTAACTTAAAATCCATTCAAAAAGATCCACTTGCTTTTGATTTACTCAATGGCCGTTGCTGCTCCAGCTACGACAATGCGTCAATGTACAACGATGACATCGGTAGTCGATGCTGGCAGATTTTGCCAATAAGCCAGCTGTGCTGATTAATTATTATTTATGCGATCTACTTACATTAGCTGTGCAACGGGCAGGCAGATACATGGTGTTTCGTGAAGAAGAAAATAAACCGGTAGTATCTGCAACAGTTCCGCAGCCCATTAAACTATTTGACTGCTGACTTCATATGAAGAAGCACTGATGGCGTAGAACTGGTTGAGTCAAGTTTAACAACGGAAAAAGCTTTCATATGACAGGGTTTTGTTATTGCTGATTTTTTTCCCATAGAAAATCTGCGACTCTGAGGTCAATAAATCTAGCGTGGGTTTGCACATTATTATTATTAACAAAGTGGACAAATCTATTTATTTAGATATATATTATACTACACTGGATTTGTATAAAACTGCATCTACTGATTTGAAACTAAATGCACAGTTCACAATTGGTTAATTTTAGATTAGGTCGTTTAAAAATGTGTGTCGTGAAAGGGCTTAAAATGCCAGCTTCATTACAAACACAATACACCTTAACGTAATTAAATATTTGTTTTTATTTTCACCAATCCCTACATAGTTTCACTTAACCTGCCAATCACAACCAATCAACTAGATATGTAATTATTTAACTGGACGAGATGCATGACTGTGCCATGGCATCTACTAACGGACCTGGATCAGGAAGCGATTTGAAGATCCGAGCTCCTGTTAATAACCTGATGATGCTGGATGTAATATCCCTTGAAACGTCCGTACCCATTTAAACGCTGTGAGATTACTCTCCAACAATCACACCGGTGCCGCTCCTGCAGCAGTAATACATCTGGCACATTCGATTCACGTGACACTTGTATTAATTGCCTGTGGCGGTGTAGGAGGGTTTACGACATGCATTTTCACACCACCTAACGCAAAATAAACTAATTATAAATCATAAAGACTAAGTCTAAAATTTAACACGTTCTTTAGTTTTTTCCAAGAACAAAGAAGCGAGTCCACAAAAAACCCAAAACCACACTCTTAACGTAAATTCCACCACAATCCTAAAACTTTATCTCCCAGTACAATCTCAGTTGTCGGCATGACATTTACTTAAAAAAACCCTTCAGGAGACATTCCTTGACCACAAGGATGTGGACTTTGCTGCAGTGTCAGTTGCACACATCCCTAGGGAGCCCACAGCTAACAAAGAACCTCGCTCGAAAAGTCGAAACGGTGAGTGGAAGAGCTCACACATGATCCCAAACTTGCCTTCCCCGGTGGCATGTGTGGCTCATTGCCTTCTGTGCGTGACAAGAACAAACATCTCACGCCTGGTCTTAAATTAACCCCTTGAGCGATATCTGCTTTGGGAGGATGTGGCAAACCCATGTGGCAACTCTCCACGCCCTCCGAGCCAATTCGTCAACATCTGACGGATACTTCCCGGCAACGGTGCTTTATGACGGCCGAGTCAGAAACCAGCTATAAACACGTGTCCCAGACTCACCCGGAGGTTTCAGTTCAAAAGGCAGTCCATGAACACGGCTTTTAAACTAATAAGGTGTTTGAAAGACAATAGAATTAGAGAAATGGTAACTTCACAATAAAATTGCGCAGCAAGTTTCAGGTTTGATCTGGGTTTACGTGTTTCAAGCGTCGCTCAATGAAGGAGATTGGCAAGAGGGCGAAACGGTTGAGAAAAGCATTTCAAGGAAGTTCTAGTCGTTACGACAAAAGTGGAGCTGGAAGTGATAATGCGTTAGCTGAAGCCATTTGAGCATTACCGCTGGCTTCTAAGAAAAAATAATAGTGATTACGATGGTGTAAAGGTGCGCCAATTACACACTGTTCATGACACTGCGAGTCAAGGTGTTCCTTTTCCCACAAGCACCCGGGCACATGCCTCCACGTTCCAGGTGTGCGTTTCACCCCACCAAGACGCAATCTGTTATCGGCTTATGACATAGCAACCATAATAACGACAATGGTGATAATAGAACGACCGAGCCCGTTTCGTTCTTGGCACCTTCATTGGGAGCATCGGGATCAACGCTCACCCTCATGCCACCGTCAAATCTGGACACCGTCGTGGTTAGCGGCCGGTTTGTAGATAACGTCGCGTTTCGTGGCAGACTGTCTGGACCTGTGGATGATTAAAAAAAAAAACAATGTACAAAACCAGATTGTAGTCTCAACAATTGAAAAATTACCTGGCATCACGAGTGACCATTGCAAACTATTTTAAGTCGTGTTACGTATTTTATTGAAAATTACAACCGTGAAATTACTGCTATAATTCATGATTACACTATCATTGTCGTCTATGACCATTTCAAAGCAATGATCTCAGAAGCTAAGCAGTTGTTGCACCTGCTTAGTATTTGAAAAAGTGAGCAACAAGGCTTGCCAGGTGTTGTAGGACTGTGGATGCGTAGTAGCCACGTGATTGCAGTGCTGAGTGTCATAATCTCATATAAATGTGTTTTCCCCTCGTATTCCAGATTCCTTCCACAAATCCAAACACTTATTCATAGGATTTGTAAAACATCCGAAAGTGGATTCCTCCAGAAAAAAAGTATTGGACTTAGTGAATAAATGCTGAGCATGTAAATATGTTTTTTTATTATTATAGTCCCCTTTATCATCACACAGCCAGGATTATCCTGTAATTTAACATCCAAATTATCCCTGGCCTTTTACAGCGAAGCTCCAGTGACAAGGTCACCGAACAAGGTAGAGTAGCAAATGGAGTTGATTAAGGCCACGATAGCTCACTGTGCTAACAATCATCACAAGGGTACAGGTACAAGTCCTAGCCGGGGTTAACTCTACCCATCACGAGCACTGTGGAATTTAAAAAATTGTTGTGTTAAATGAAGACAACCTCCCCCCACCAGAGGAATGTGGAATTTCCACCACTATCTCTGCATCACCTATTGAGAACGGGTAGCGGTGTTGGCTCAGTAACCTCACCACCGAACTACTCATTCACCGATACTGGTAGCCATTATGATGCTCCTCCAAAGGGCCTACTACAACCACCAAGAAAACCAAAACCTTGCGTTGGCCACCCAACCTAGAACCAGGTTGGCGCCCCGTCATTTAGAGTTTACGATCACGACATTTCCGCGATCTGTCCGTACGTTTTGCGTCTTTGGGAGAAGCAATACATGACCAGGACGATGAAGCAGACGATGAAGAGGATGCCGAAGATGATGGCAAGGATGTCACCTGCACGCACGGCGCAAACACCAGCAGGGTGAGTGGGGAGGCATCGTGCACACTCGACGAGACGATAGAATTTTGCAATGCAGTCAACCAAATAATCATGGTCAATTCATTGAAAATCATAGTTAATTGATTATAATTGACCATAAGTAAAGCCACAAATGCATATGGAACATGGAAACAATATCTAAGGTTTAAAGTTTAACTTTTTAATCAGAAAAGGTGATAGATAGGTAAATGTAGAGGTGCATCCCTTACATTGTTGCCAACCCCATTGCTGATGGAGAAGCCTCCCATAACAGATGCTCTTGATGGTACTTTTGGCCTATTCTTCCATGCTGATCAGGTGTTTTGGAAGAGGTGGGAGTATCTGCTACACTTGCCCAACCATACGTTACCTACCGATTGACGAATTGGTGTTCCCATTCATATACCGGGAAAAAGACAAAGGCGGTGGGATTTCAGAAACTTGCCCATCATTTCAATTGCCGCAGGAGGAGATCAAATTGGTCTCGCTTACACCTGTGAAAAAGAGGTTTATAGCTCATGGGATTCCTCCAGTATAAATAAATATTCTTATTCTGAAGCCCAGTGTGATAACCATTACACCACAGCAGCTTCCCTTTTAACCATTTTTTTTTACTATGACACCATCTGGCAACAAACTGGAGGTGGTAATCAGTGCTGTACATTCAGCCTCCAACGGAAGGTATAGGTGCTTATGATACGTCAACACTGCGTATAATGCATTGTCAACTGAGTTCACTTACCCACACGCAGTCCCTTTTGTCCTGGAACAAAAACAGAAAGACAGAGAAACCATAAAATAAACAGGTGTTCAGTCACACGCGGCTCACAGAGGTGGCCAGCACGCACCTGTGTGCAGAAGTGACGAGGTTAGGCGAAACAACCACATACCGTGACAACCCGTACGGTTTTCCCGTATGCTTCTACAGGGAAATTGAGTTTTCAGGTCCATATGGCATACAGCCGTTTCAATACGGGCAAAAAAAAGTATATTTGTTTGTGTTTCTCCCATGTGATGGGACTTTGTAAGATGAACGGTGAAATGTATAAGGGGCACGGGGTGACCGATAAGGTCTGAATTGGCCTGTAATAAGATAGGCACTGATAAGGGGTTGACAGGTTTGCAAGGACCGCACGCAATGCGGTTATGATTGAATGTGGATTCACACAGCGATGCTAAAATGCGACCGCTTTCCAAAACGCTGTGTGGAAACCTTAGGGGCCGTCCATAAATGACGTCACGCGATTTTGGACGTTTTTTTTATCCCCCCCGCCCCCTTCGTCACACGGCGTCACAAAAAGTCAGACCCCCCTCAAATATGACGTCACAAAGCTCTGCCCCCCCCCCCCCAAAAAAACCATGCTTCAAATCGCTTTAAACTATTGTCATTGTAGTGCGTATTTAATGTGGCGCTGCACTCTGATGTTGTAGGAGAAAACATTTATTACAAAGTCTATTTAATTAAGTAGAACGTGTTGTCTATATTTATTTAAAGTTGCGCATCTTTATGTAACGTCACGTTTCTCACCCCCCCCCCCCCCCATCGTCACACATTGTCACAAATGTCTGACCCCCCCCCCCCTACCAGGTGCGTGACGTCAGTCAGTGATAGGCGGATTTTAATATGGAAGGTCTGGGAGTTGGGACTTGAACATGAGCAGGGGCGTCCACAAGGGGAAGGGACTTCCAGACCATGAGGGCCGCGCAGCAGATGGAGTGACGTGCTTGGTGGGATTTCTAAAAAATTTAATCCAAGGGAAAACGGATCCAACAAATGTATTAATATACAGCCCTTTGTCAATCTACTTGCTGGAGGAAAGCCTCCCCATACAGTATTGGCCATGGGAGTTGTTTGACCAAACCCTGACATTAGCCCTGGATGGGAATTGAACTGAAGAAGCACGGTTCACAAGTAGTGCATGAGCCACTGCGCCACCACTCCATTACGAATTTGATGTGCCAATAGGGAATACCCAATTAAACATTACAGCTCGTTTGTGCCCGTAAAATGTGCCATTCAATTGGCTCATTTATGGAAAATGAGATATATATTTTAAATATACTTTGTTGACAGTTTGGATTTCATGCTTTCAAAAAAATCTACAGAACCCCTCCCAAAAGTAAAGCCCATGACACAATATAAAGAATAATTAAATTTTACAAACGCTGATACAAGCTCTGTCTCCACTTGTATATCCCATCATGGTGGGCCCTCGACAGAGAGGTGCAAAGACAAGGGCAGAGATCTCCCATATAACCTAAACAGACTGTTGGGGTAAGTGCTGTTATTGAGCACCGATGAAGGCCGGTACGGCACACGAGGGGGTGGGTGGCCAGCACCACGCCCGGCCGCCTTTGTCTCCCCAATGGCGATGTTTATCACCAGGTACTCCTTTTAGGCTGAGTTGACCTAGGAAAGGCCCATGACCAGTTCAGATAATTGTCCCTGGTGTTGGGCGTGAGCGGGAATTGAACTCGGGTCGCCGGGTTCATAGTGCAGCGCGCTAACCGCACACACAACCAAATGAGCCTTGATGTCTTGCGTTCTTGATACTGCATGGCAATTATACAAGGCAACCTGTAATCCCTGGGCTGGGATAGAATCTGAGCTGCTGCACATATTACTGCTGGCTGATTACACAGACTTATCACATTGGCTGTGCAGTTCCCCAAATGCGTTGTATGCTCGCTCATTACTTGTAATGAGGTCGTGCTGGATTTCTCGGGCAAGATGATTTTTGGCAGGACATCCTTGCTGTGGCTGTCTTTGGCTGGCCACAGCTATGGAGCAGCTGGAGGCAAGTTCTCTGCGCAAGGCTTTCTGTGGTGGACCACCCCGTGCCAAGTTGTCTTTGGCAAAACCACTTCTGCAGGCTACCGCTTTCGATCGACTTTCTCACAGAACTCCACAAAACTGGGCATGCCCTCCTTTTAAGTCACCGACGATCTCTGCGCTTTTTTTTATTCCAACTGGCAGTTCGGAATTTGTGATGAAAGAGAAAAGAGGTGGACGAGAGTCACAGTGCGGGTGCTGCAAAATGCCGAATCGCAGCGTAAAGGGGACGGCGCCCAGGTGACAGCGGCATCACCCGTGGTTGTTCCGTCCTTGCGCCCTATCGGGTTATTCCTCATGTCGTCTCGGCTTAGGGCGCCACGCATTCTACAGCGACACGGCGAGGGACCAGGGCCGTGGGCTTGTGGGGGACCGACGCGGGTCGTGGTTTATGAAGGAGGCGATGGAGGTGGCCAGTCTGAAGGGTGGTCTGGACTAGCGCCAGTGCCGCACAAAGAGCTCATTATTTTACTTTACTGCGCTGCATTGCTCAACGGCTTTTTGACGAGCTTACTCTGTAAACAAAAATAAAGACCTGGACACACCGCCACGCTGCCACTGCTCCACCTCCTTATTCCACATAACACAAGCTCACCGCTCATCCCTGCTCAACACTCTCGTCTCCGTGATTTCTTTAATCGGTTATCCATGACCCTGGTTTTTAGAGCCGACTGTGAGCTCCGTGTCAATGCAATGTACGTAACATTGTTTGAGAAACGGGCAATCTATTTATATTTTTTTAAAATTGCAAACAGAAGTGCACTCATAGCAAGGTTCTGGGGGGGGGGGGTGCAGGGGGGGGGCACGGAGAAAGATACACCCAGAAAACTCAAGGTGGCATGGCACTTTTCATTAAAATTGCTAGAGTCTTTTAAACCGATGTGTCAATGTAACACAATTATCTGGTCTGAAATGCAACGGCAAATTGCGAACTTAGTTCACACGTATCCAATATAAAACTAAAAACTAAACTATATTTTACCAGGTTAGACCCACTGAGCTATATAGCTCTTCTTCAGAAGCGACCTGACCACAAAATGAGAGCTCAGCGAAGTGACTTATCACGTGGAAATTGATTGAGCAGCCAAATACTCTAAACGCGTGTTTATAAATGTGGAGTGAAAACCCAGAGGGTCCGGAGAAAAATCCATGCGACCACAGAGGGAATATGCAAACTCCAAATATACACCAGGCGTCAGGATTGGGATCGAACCCACGACCTCCTGCATACCCGGTGAGGTAGTTAACATCTCGCCACCGTGGCACCCCATATAATCTACAGGGGATTTTCAATCCGAATGCCGAAATTTTCAGTGGGGAGCCAATTGTGGGCGTGTACCGGTATATACACGTGCACACAATCGCTCGGTCGCAATGCTGGAAGGAGTCGTTCGAGCAGGCTCAGCGCCGTAGTTGTTCACCCATTTCCACGAGAATCCTTCGTGGAATGTGACCAATCAGGCCACTGTCACTGCTCCCTCTTGTTCACCCATTTCCACGAGAATCCTTCGTGGAAAGTGACCAATCAGGCCACTGTCACTGCTCCCTCTTAACCCACACTTGCACCACCCGCATCCGCACCACCGCTAACCCGCACAAATCCCCAAGGGACAGCCAATTTATTTCAATCACCCAAGGGCTCATATGAAGCCATCATGGCCTGCAATAGAACGGGGCACATTTAGCTGATTCATTTAGCCGTTATCAAGCTGGGAACACAAATACATTAAATGGGACTGCACCAGACCTTTAACTGGTATTCAGCAACAATAATTTGTGATACTGCATTGCCAGTTGTGCACCACCACAAATACCGAAAACTAAACACACACGTGACATTTCAGGCAATGCCTCTTCTCTGGCTATGAATAGTTTTTGACTGGCATTGGATGCCTGCGATGGAAAACATAGCATGACTCAATCTTCCTCTTTGTGGATCGAATCTTCGATTCTTAGAAGGGGAAACTCAAAACCTAGCAGACCCCCCCCCCCCCTTCACATTCTTGATTTCCTTAAAACGAGCAGTGAGCGCCAGGTACCAAACGTATACGTCCGCCTGCTTGTTCTCGCCACTCTGTTTTGGCATCCCAGATATCAGAGGTCACTGCAGCACTGTCGTAGCATTCGGGGGGGGGGAGGTGCTGGAGGGGCTTGAGCCCCCCACCTGCCCTGCTATAGGCTCAGCCACCTTTCCAGAGTAAATTGTTACAGACAAGTCTAAATAAATTGTCGCGCCATTTAACTATCTAACACCATTGGCAATGAAGTGATGGGTATCGCAGCCTTTCCTCGAATACACAGCGGCTGAGAGCTGGAACAGTTGGTAGATGAAAGCAAATCGTGGGGCATTTGCGTGGAGGCTTCATTTGCGATCACGGGGTACACATTCTGCAGGAGCCCCACAGTACTTGGAGCGCACTGTCGGGCTCCATGCCGAATACCGCACGGCTACAACCCAGAGAAACACGCCGGCGAGCTATGGAAGCAAGATCGTATATCCTTAACTCGTTCCGTTTAGCGTTCACATTTGTTTGAAGTTTCTTTAACGCGGACTGTCATATTAACTCTCCCCCCAACCGTGGTTGCGTATGGCCTGCCCTCCTTAAACAAGGTCACACGCCTGGATTGGGCTGGTTTCAGCTGCTGTTGAGAACATGAGTCAGAGCTTAAGGCCTATGAGGCTCGGAGCCTCGGAGCAAAGGGCAGGGGTCAACTAGTAATGGGTAAACGGGAAGGACTATGGATAAGCTCCTGTTAAGGGGTGGCAGAGGAGCCATAAAACTGCACTCTCGGAGAAATAACAATAAATGAACGATCTTGATTTGAAGCTTTCGTGACTGCAGGAATCCATACTCTTTGGTTCTTTCGGTAAAGTCACGTGGTAGGTAGAAATAAAACAAAATAGATCACGACGTTTCGATCGCCACACA